TATATTCCTCGTAATTATTTGGCCGTGAAGGGTCGTAGATATCGTCCCAATCTTGCGCCACGGCCTGCTCTTCCCTATTCTTCTTCCTTCGCTTCCTGCCACCTCTTTGCCTTTTCTCTCCAACATAGAATCCATTCACGTCATCATCGTCAGCGGCCCAATCGGCCAAGGTGCTCTTAGAAGCTGGTTTGGCAGCATTGGATGTGGCAGTCTTCGCGACTACATTGCTCGGTTCGTTGGCATTCAGACTGGCAATGGCAGCTTTTGGGAATGATGGTTTCGCTTTTAGCTTTTGAGAAAGCTGTGGTCTTCTCGTAGGTTGAAATCTAAGGGCAGCTATTCAAACATTGAGTGAGCTGTGCAGAAACATAGATTGGATTCAAATCATTCATAGCATACCAGCATCAATTTGGGGTTTCTTAGTAGCTTCATCTTCCACTGAATTGAAAACAACAGGTCCTTTGGTAATGGAGCCGGGCGTATCACTCGATGACGGATCTAACAAGTTTGCGTAGAGAGAAAGTCCATTCCGTGCAGGAGTAGCATTGGTAGGATTAGACATATTGATATATAAACCATGCAAAACAAAAGCAATTAATTAGAGAGACCGTTGAATGTTGAATTTCAGTTGCTTGCGAAACAACCACAGCCTGGCGCATAAGGCTGTACCTAGTAGATGTCACCAAAGTCAGGTGACGAGGAGCTTCTTTCCGATAAGGGAAGGACGCCGTGGATAAGAAGTTAAGGAGAGGCGCGGAACCTTTGCGAGCTCGGAAAGCTTAGAAAGTCTGGGAATGGTTCTTATTAATCTCATGCGTGACAATCAAGTTTCTCTTCCATCCTATCTTAAACAAAAGGACGATATTTGAACAATTTTATACCTTATTCGTTAATTCTTCGGATTCTTCAAGTTACATTCTGATCTTGGCTCTATTTCATACCTTGTATAGTACAACGATTATCGTCGTCTCGACCAACCATCGTCTACGAATCCACGCAGGCCAAGATGTCTGCTGCTACCCTCGCCAATTCCTTCTCCACAGGCAATACTACCACAGCAATTATTGTTCCAGGAAAGCAACCTCTTACCATTACCTATAAACAACTCACCGCCGAGATATCCTCATTTCAAAAGAAGCTCGCCAAGCTTGGTGTCACACCGCAAGCTGCAGTATCAATTGCTCTACCAAATACCTATGAGTTCATTATTGCCTTCTTAGCAGCATCATGGCAAAGAGGAATTGCTGCACCTCTCAACTCCGCATACAAGCAAGAGGAATTCGAATTCTATATTGATGATTTGAGCTCAGCAGTTGCTCTTGTTCCCAAGGATTCGTTTCAGAAAGATGGACCCGCTGTGAGGGCTGCAAGAAAATATAATGCGGCTATTGCAGAATGTTACTGGAATGGCAGTGAGGTTGTGTTGGATGTCAAGGATGAGGGGAAATTGAAGGGGAAAGGAAATCAAAAGGTTGAGCAGGCGCAACCAGATGATGTTGCTTTGGTTTTACATACCAGTGGAACAACGGGAAGACCAAAGGCTGTGCCATTGACACACAGGAACCTCACTACAACTATGAAAAACATACAAGCTACATACAAGCTTACTCCTGCGGATCGTACCATGCTCGTTATGCCTCTATTCCACGTTCATGGACTTTTAGCGGGTTTCCTAGCTCCATTAATGTCCGGTGGTTCTGTCATCGTCCCCCCTAAGTTCTCTGCTTCCGAATTCTGGAGCGATTTCATTACACACAAAGCAAATTGGTATACTGCTGTTCCAACTATTCATCAAATTCTCTTGAAGAATCCACCACCCACAACCAAACCCAACATTCGATTCATCCGATCATGTTCTTCCCCTCTTTCCCCAACCACTTTCCACGCTCTGGAAGAAACATACAACGCTCCCGTCCTTGAAGCCTACGCTATGACAGAAGCCTCCCACCAAATGACATCAAACCCTCTTCCACCTGGAAAACGTCAACCCGGTTCTGTAGGAATTGGTCAAGGAGTCGAAGTACGAATTCTTGATGGCGAGGGTAAAGAAGTTCCAATTGGTTCTGAAGGAGAAATTTCTATTCGCGGCGAGAACGTCACGAAAGGTTATCTCAACAATGAGAAAGCCAACAAGGAGTCCTTTACCAAAGAAGGATTTTTCAGAACTGGTGATCAAGGAAAAATGGATAAAGATAGATATGTGTTTATCACTGGCCGCATTAAGGAACTTATCAATAAAGGAGGCGAGAAGATCTCTCCTATCGAACTAGACAATGTCCTAGCCCGTCACCCTGCTGTTTCCGAAGCTGTCAGCTTTGCTATACCCGATGAAATGTATGGTCAAGATGTTGGTGTTGCTATCGTATTGAAGCCAGATCAAAAATTGACTGCATCAGAGTTGAAGCAATGGGTTGCGGACAAAGTGGCCAAGTTCAAGGTGCCAAAACAGGTATACTTTTCGGATGTTATGCCAAAGACAGCTACAGGAAAGATTCAAAGGAGAATAGTGGCAGATACTATGCTTAAGCAACCTAAGGCTAAATTGTAGAGGAGGCTAACCAGTTACCTTTCTATTTCGTTCAAGGGAATGATGAAGCGTACAATTGTCCCTGGATATGATACCTTTGTGTAGATGTTTTCCTAGATGTACTACAAATTTTGATTTTCTTTTATACATCTAATTGTGTCTTGATTTTAAAGCATTTTTTTGACAGCTAGAATTCAATGAAAATTTTCAAGAAATACATACCCCTCTGATATGGTAGAATGGTGAATGAATAGCCACCTGCCACTGAGTACACTACTAGAGTACATCATTCCCCCTATTCATCACATCACATGCATCTTTCTTTCCCTCTACCCATCTATCCTCATCATCTTTCTAATCTGCGCGTCACTATAACCGCAAGATCCGTGCTAAGCAGATCACTCCATATTCGCCCATTCATTCATTCATTCATCCATCCCACATATCATCCTGTACTGAGATCTCGATTCGAATCATAATCTTCCAACTTCCAGTTTTCATCTAGCTTCTATCTTCCATCCTTTCTATCTAACGTATCGTATTATACAATCTCATCTAATCTGATCTAGTCATCTACCTAACTATCTAAATATATAAACCTCTCAACTATCTACCTGTCCAGCTATCTACTTGTCTAGCTATCTACCTGTCTAGCTATCTACCTGTCTAGCTATCTGCGCATTCATATACTATGTATTGATTGACTAATTGACTAATTGATCAATCATCTGAGTATTTTGCGTTTTGAGTATTTTGTGAATGTTTTTATATACATAATCTCATTTTGTCTCACGCATCTCATATCACTCACCTCGCAGCACTCACCTTACCTCGTAACACTCTACTTCCATAGTCTCCTAACTACAAGGACCCTTTATGCAATTGTCTTTTGTATTTCACTTGGTACTGTAGACTCTGTATTATATGCTTCCTTTTGTGTTCATACTGCACGGTACATCGCATTTCATCTCGGCTTGTATTCATATCCCATTTCATATCCACCCATCTCAACTTGACTGTCCCTCCAATACTCATCCCATTTCATAATCACCATCTCCTCACTTCTCATTCCTTTACCCATCTCCCTCACGTCGACTCACCTGGCTACAACCCACCTTTTTCAGCTCTCCCCTTCATCATCCGTTATCCAGCCTATCCCTCTCCTCTCATCCCATCTCACCACTTTCACATTCTCCTCTCCTCTCCTCTCACCCCTTTTATCATTCTTCTCCCCCCAAATCACCTTACGCTTCCTCTCCCATCTCATTTCACGTGAACACTCATTATTCTCCTCTAATCCTCTTTCTTTCCACCTATACTACCTATACTACCTATACTACATTATAAATCTCAATCCTTACCCAATATCTCCCCTCCCCCTCTCCTCTCCTCTCCCCTAGCTACTCGTCCCCTTCCTCACTCTCCTCTCCCTCCTCACTCTCATTCCCTCCCCCTCCCTTCCAAGACACCACATAAAAATACACCACACCACACCCGACTAAACTGGATCCAATCACCTAGCTCACCTATCCATCACCACTCCATCACTACTCACCTCACTATTCACCTACACATCAACCATAAATTTCCATCACCACTCAACCAGCCAACAGCCAACAGCCAACCACCCAGCTATCACCCACCCATCACCACTCAACCAGCAATTGCCCACTCACCCAACCCAACCCAACCCATCCCTACCCATGCCAATCCCTCTCCCTCCCCCTCTCCCCACCTACCTACAAACTTACCTACCTACCAAATAAGAATCATGATTTTTTTATTCAAAAAACCCCCCAACAACACACATCTACATCCACATCCACATTTTCTAACACATGTAAACACAAAACATGCAAACCTGAAACATAAGACAAATGACTCAATGTACCAAGAATATCAATCCCAATAGCAATATGATTCTCCAATGACACACTCACACAACTACACAACGATACTTGATTCAAGACCCACACTAATCAACTCAAGGATCGAGACGACCCGCTATCTAATCAACTTCCTGATACACTACACGGTAGATCTTACAATTACCGATTCATTGAATCATATCAAAACTTGGCAAGGTCGAGAACACACAAGGGCATGTAACAAATAAAAGACAGACATTATAGTATTATGGTTTATAAAAGAGATTCATTATTATTCTCTGCACTTCTCAATTCCAGGGAAACAATATTCAAATGTACAATTTCGGATTCTCTCTTCTCAAAAGCTTAATGTTTCCCACCCATCCCCTTAATAACTTCATGGAATTTTCTGTGTACCATCAATGTAATAGGTGCACAAGTAGAGCAACCTTGACAGCAATAGATATGCAAAGCACACGCCCCTAATGATCCTAATGAAGGTGAAAACCGCTCAAAAGCTTATGAAAAGTCATGTAAAACAGAGAGAACGTGGCATATTAGGTCTAATGTGATAATTAAAGGAAAAACGCCGACGTCCCAATGATTTACAACAACATGCTCAATAAACCTCCGATGACGGAGACACCCATGACTGCCTCGTTAACACCGTAGGAGACAGCAGCACCCTTGCTAGAAGTGGCAGAGGCACTTGAGGAAGAGCTGGAGCTGGAGCTGGTTCCGGATTGAGCATTGGCGGTGGTCTTGCAAGTGTAGGTACCTTGGATGTTACCGCTGTCGTGCTCAGACTTGAATCCACTGCAGTCGATGGAGGTAGTGGATTGCATGTTGAAACCACCCTTAACGTCGTTAAGCTTTGGCAATTCAGGGCTAGAAGAGTAATGTTAGCTAATCCTCAGCATGTGAACTCGCATCATGTAAGAACTTACGTAGTGAAGTTTCCGGAGAAATCAATGGCACCTCCAACTTGAGTCAACTCTGGGAAGTTGATAGCATCAAGAGCAGAGTTGTTGGCGATTTGGAAAGCACCTCCAACAGTCTCGAGCATAGGGATGGTAATGTTGGCGAGGGATGGGTTAGCAACGAAAGCCAATCCACCTTGTCCGTTAGCAGTGTCACCGACGGATGTCAAGTTTGGTGCATTGAGACTGGTGAAGTAGTTCTCGTAGAAACCGAGGGATCCGTTAACAACAGCCAAAGATGGAATGCTGACACTGGAGACGTTACGGAAGGTCATGTTGGCGGCCCAGATCAAGTTAGGGAAGCTGACATCCAAGTTCTTTCCGTTGGAATCGATGTTGAGAAGAGTCGTGACATTTCCAACTTGGGTGCTGAAGGTCTTGAGACGGTTGTTGTTGTTGATGTTCAAGGTGTCAACGGTGTTCAAGTTGATACCATCGAGGGTGCTCAAGAAGGTGTTGGTAATGGTGACACTTTTGGCAGTGCTAACGGCGTTGGTGAAAGTGAGAGCTGGGAGAGCTGGAAGAGCAGCCCAGTTGATCGTTCCAATGGTGTCAAGGACGGAGAATTGGAGGGTGGACAAGAGAGTCAAATTGCTCAAGCCGAAAGTATCATCAATGGTGGTAAGAGAAGTACTTGAAAGAGATGTAATGGCTCCGTTGTTCTCGACCATCAAGCTACCTTCGATACGTTCAGGTCCATCGAGTTGAATGGTACCAGATGCGGTAGTACTGATAACAACGTCACCAGAGATGGTTGTGCAACCAGCCAAAGCGGTGGCATCAGCAGCACTGCTGATGGTGGCAGTTGCTTGAGAGCAAACGGAAGCGGTTGTGGCAGCTAGATGGAGAAATGCCAGTTAGTACTTGTATCATCTCGATTGGCCATTCTCCTGTTTACACAAGCCACCATAGATCGAATTGATCAATCTCCTGGTGCCCATTGATGCACAATATCCAACCTCGGAATGTAATGATGAAAAGATTGAAAACGTACCAGATACAGTGCCGACGACTGCGAGAGCCGGGAGGAGGACTTTGGAGAACATGGTTGATTTGAAGTAGCTTCTACAGTGACTTCGCAATTGTTAGTTCGATTATTGTAAGAAGAATGCAGAAAGTGTTGATCGAAGATGAATAAATTTGCGGTGAAGTTGGAAGATTGTTTAATGGAGGACGAAGTGGCTAATGATCAGAATTCCTGAAGAAGGTGGTCCGAGAAATTTGAAAGCGAGTTGCAAATGCAGGAACCAACTTGCTGAAGGAAGGGAAGGAAGGAATTAAGCAATCAAACACACGAGAGATGTGACGGAGGAAGGAATTGATTGATGGATGGATGGATTGACTGGTTATTGTGTTGAATGATGATCGAAATGTCTTGAAGTGAATGTATATTCAATCAAGAGGAAGGAGACGATGATAGAAAGCTTCCAAGAAATCGACTCACCCTTTGAATTTGACGTTGATGAAATGACTCTTTCTCTTTTCGATGGTTGTGTGTAGATAGATCCTTCTGTTCGTTTCCGATAGTTGAGTGCGATTCGAATATTATTAATGTAAGTGAGTGATAGAATCTTAACGACAGTAATGAAGTGATGGAAAGAAAGCAATTGGAAAGAAGACGACGATATGAACTTTTTCGAAGAGAGAGAGAGGGAATCCGTTTCCAAAAAGAAGTGGGTGGCTTTTTCTTCAAAAAGGTTACAGGCGTAGGAAATGAATTCAAATCTAATGAAATAGAATTAAAAGTCGACTAAGGGAAGGAGGGAAGTTGGAAGAGCGGCCGGAAGTGGTCGAAATCCCTAGCAAGTAATAAAAAAGGGGAGGATCCTAGTACGAGAGGCTTGTTTAGCAGTGAGCTCCTAGTGAAATCAAGTGAAGTTTGAAAAAGTTACGAAAGTTAAAAGAGGTCAAATCCGATTTGATTGGCTACAAGGGACGCTTGGTATGATTAATCCTGTCTATCCATTACCCGATTTGGTAAAAGCTCTTGCTTGTTTTAGTTTCCCTTGGTTGGTAAAAGATATCTAGGTACGGGTCGGTGCACCGCGGGTGTAGAGAGCATCAAGAAGACTAAGCGATTCTAGGTAATATTACTCATCATTTGCGTCTCCATTAGGTCATTCTGCATCCGAATTAATGCTGAGATCTAATAATATGATCTGATGTGAATACCTCCTGGTCCATCTACCATGCCAACGACCCTTACCCAGGTAGGTACGAATCTACTTTTTATGGATACTCGGAAATGAAGAGGTGGATGGATATCAGCACATCACAATCATACCGACCACCCACACACTACATCCCGTTACAGCTGGCGAGGACATCATGGAAAAGCTTGTTGTTGACCTTGTTCAAAGTGCACACAGGCTCGCAGACTCACAGCACGTTTCTTCCACTATTGATTCTCACGATCAAATGAATATCTTCTTCTTTGGATCCTGTGTTATCCTGTTATCTCGTTATCTTGATTATTACGAGTGAGTTCACACCACCGAGTGATACGTTGATTGCAGGAAAAACAAGGGAGAGGAGTATCGAAAGGCGAAAGTCTCTAGGATGGTTGAGAATCATTCCAATGAATGGCTTGAGAACCTCTTCCTTTTCATAGTACGACGTGCTGCACCACACAACACCACAACATTACTGGCTGGTGCAGCGTATACTAGGGAGGTAAATCAGTCACTAGTGGATCTTGGATTCGTTGTACAGTACGAATTTCTTATGTACTCTGAAGACGGTTTATCGTTCATCATCATCATCATTATCATTCATCCAAAATAACCTGGATGAGGAGTTTCAATGGATGGATCGCTGACCTGGTGGTTTTAGATTGATTCCTAGTGATGATTACGATATCCCTTAGGTGCCGACCGGTATTCTCATTTCATACATACCAAAGGAGTTTCTAACGTCTAATATCGACCGAGGAGTCTTAACTTTACTCAGCTTCTCTTAAAGGAAGCTTCTATCGTCAATTTGATACTTCTTGTCTTATACTAATATTATAAATAGCTTTTCTACAACGCTTGACTGCGTCAGAGTTTATGGATTCTATATAATCATTCAACTACCTCTTGCCATCATGTATATTCGACGGATACAACATTACGATTCACCAGTGGCCAAAGGCCATCTTGAACAATGGAATTGTTTACCAACAATCCTATAAATTATGAAAATTAAAATCATCCCAATCAAGTTAGACATCATTTGCCATTTGATTTTTTCTGCAAGTGACAAGCATCTCGTAATCATTCTGATGCATCTTGGTCCGGGTGTTCAACGTTAGTCCAAGATTTAATCCAGTCCAAAGATTACCCCTGAAAATGATTTGGGATGTTCTACTCCGTACGTCTTGGGTCCGAGATCCCTCGATGGCTGATTGGTTCGATGGGTTGATAAATGGACATTCTCCAATTCTTTTTCCAACACCTAGAGATCAACCTAGTATTCCTTTTCCAAGGTTCCCTTCTTCCTGTTCGATATTTATTACCGGTACTTGATTTTGAAGTTCTAAGGCGAGGAAGAGTGCGTGTGAGGACTTGGGCAATTGAGCAGCGGACAGTGAACAATGAACAGGTGGACAGTGGATACAAGATTCAAAGATCAAGCCAGCATGAATAGTGAAGTTTGGGTTGTTGTAACTTGCTACCATGAGCTAACTACCTAGCTAGCGACCTACTTACTTTAGAACAGCTTAAGCAACAACCATTCGTTCGTTCACCCACCCAAGACAGACAGACAACTTCTCTTGATGAAGACGAATTTGGTGGATATTTCATTCCCTTTTAAATACAGGGACGAGATTTGAAAAGTTCTGGAATGGCTCAATAGGAGGGGAGGGGAAATATTATCTCATTCTTTTGGGTCCAATGCGGTGTTACTATATGGAGAGTTTTTCATTCGCCTCTCTCTTTGCCTAGGTAACGTACGGGAGAATACGAATCATACGAGGTAGGTCTTGGTTTTGCTTGTCGTTCATCCTTCACATGTTTGTTATTTATTGTAAAGGTTTCTAGGGTTCTCCCTCGCTGCTTTTCAACTCACTCGAATTTACATTTATATCTGTGTGCATAGACGTGACGTGTGGTATGTCGGTATTCCAACAATCCCATATAAGTTGTAAGTTGTAAGTTACAAGTCAAGAAAGTATCCTCAACCACTCTGATGTGGTTGAGAGTCGAGACCACAAGTCCTTAGAAACATCCATCCAGGGAATCAATTTCTGACCCGATCTGAGATTCTATCCTGGCTGGGGCTATTTCATTCACAGCCACAGCCACGATTAACATGACACAAAATCGTGGCTTGGAATTGGACTACGAAATATTCCTTTTGCATTTGTGGTATTCTGAATATGTATATGTTTGTGTGTATGTATATGTATATCTAACTGTATGGATATCTTCGGCATTGATGGAAAAGTGCTTGTCTAGACATCTGTATCTCTATCCACGGTGTATAGGAACTAATCTATCTATCTATCTACCTATCTAACCACACCATACCATTCCACACCTCCACCCGGAAGTTAACCATCTTCCCCTTCCCCTGGTCCTTAGGCCCTAACCTAACACCTACGAATCCATCTATTCGTCCATGTGTATGTACCTATCTATGTACATATTTACGTACCCATTCTATGTCTACCTATCCCCTCCATATATATATATATATATAAACTCAATCCCGCATTCAATCCTCTGTACGTACCGTACGCGTTATCATGACGATTCATCATGACGATTCCTTCCCATTTCTCTAAGCTGTGGGTGGCTTGGGTGGGTCACCTATCTATCTATCTATCTATCTATCTATCTATCTATCTATCTATGACTTATAATGAATTATGAAGATTTCGCGGTTATTGGATGGGGGAAGATGGATGGGAGATGGATGGGAGATATAAATAATCCATCCACCTACAGGTTTTCACCCCCTGTTCACTCACCTGTTGAGTTAAGTTCTTTTATCGGTCGATTGGATGGATGGATGGTTGGTTGGTTGGAGGACAATTGATTTTTTCGATTTTTTCTCGATATATAGCGTAGGTATAGGTGTATAGGTATATATTCTTCTTCTTCTTCTTCTTCTTCTACTACGGATTATGAATAAGGAGTAGCAGGAGCAGAGGAGAGGAGAGGAGAGGAGAGGAGGTAAATGTTAATATCAATCTTATCCTTATTTTACCTTCATTTTACTTACTCTATTTTATTTTATTATTATGTGTATGGTATCGATACATGCATGGATGGTTAGGTACTAGGTAGGTACTAGGTGGATATTGAGATGAATATGAGAGATTAGCCTTTTGGGGAAGAGGGGAGGGAATTGCGAATCTAGATTTTGGATTTTGGACTTGGATTTTGGACTTGGGGTTTTGAATGAGATGTTTGATTGATTGAGAGACTTTGGTTTGTACTTGTATGTATGTATGTATGGGATCTGATTTATAGATTTGGTTTGTGGATAGTTGTTTTTTCTAATGGTTGGTTGGAATTGGATACTTATCTATCTATCTATCTATCTATCTATCTATAGGTACTTCCTTACTTACTCTGTAGGCTAAGAAGAAGAAGAAGAAAAGATTTATCGATAGAAGGAAGGTGTGAATGTTGAGGGGAATGAGAATCTTGACGCCTGTGGGAAATATAGATACTACCTAGTGAGTAGTATCGAGTCTAGTCCGTTCGATATCTGTCTGTCTGTCTGTTTGTTGGTCGGCTGGCCTGATTGGCGTTTTATATGGATATGGATATGAATATGAATATGGGATGCAGGTACATTTCTTGTTATGCTATGCAATGCAATGCTATGCTATGGGATGTAAAGCAAGGCCAAGTAAGGCAATGCTGTGACGGATGAATATCAGGTACCTGGGTACACGACATGTTTGTGTGTACCTAGAATATGTAGGATGGAGATCTTTGATGGTCATTTGGATGTGTATATGCATGGTGTGTATGGTATGTACTGGTTTTGTAACCGGTACTTTTACGCTCTGGATTAAGCGGGTTGGTAGGTGGGTGGTATATCTCCTGACTGTTACGCGGAATTGTCAGGTGTATGTATGAATGAATGGACGGGTGGATGGATGGATGAGCAATTAAGATTGGAATTAAGAATGAGATTGGAGATTGGGAATGGAGATTGGGAATGGAGAATGGAGAATGGAGAATGCAGAATTGGAAACGGACGTCATGTGATGGATGATATGTATGTATGTATGTATGTATGTATGTATGTATATGCAAGTACTATCTGTATCTTTAAGTATTTAGATATAGCATATACATGTACATGTATCTATATGTATTACACATCAAGTCATGTGGTCTCCTATGTACACACATGCTACAGCTACAGCTACAGCGGACACATGATATTATATCATATTGTGTCATGTGGTTATGGTTGTGATTGAGCGTATAGAATATACAGCGGAGATGTATCGTGCTGCGTGGTTGGATCTGTGGATATATATATTGTTCTTTTTTGTTCTGTTCTGTTTATAGGTATTGTATGTTGTGCTGGATTCGTTTGATTGGTGCGTGGGTAGGTAGGGAGGTATGGTGTTGGTATTGTGAGGGGATGGGCGGGTAGATGAATGAAGATTTTGGTTATTAAGTTGCTGTAGGTAATCTCTCTCTCTCTCTGGAACAACAGTGGGAAGGGTAGAGAGGTAGACAGATGGACGAATTGAAGGTGAAACACTGAAAAGATGGAGAAACATAATTTGTGATTCCATCCACGATGCTCTAGAACACTGCTCGTAGTGCTTGATATCAATGTTTCTGATGCTTGCATGTCTACACATGTAGAATAGATCCTGCACCTATCAAGACACATATACATAAGCATATTACCATTGTACATCCACAACATCGAGTACCTATGTAAGTATGTAGATACCCAGGTATCAATACGTCAAACACCAGATACAAAAACCGTTTGGTTTCATCTCATCTCATCTTGTCTGGTCTCATTTCGTTTCGTTACTTACATTACCTAAGTATATTATTACAACCTTCCCTCGCTTTCCAATCTAGTTTGAGATGTCCAGTATCTTGTATCTTGCGTCGATGTTTTGGGGGCTGTGATTCTGTTTGTTTGAATTCGTTAGCTGCTATGTATGTAGTTTTGGTCTCCATCCATGATACAATATGATTTATTTATTTGAGGTCTGTGTATGTGTATTCATATCTGGTGGGCCGGAGTGACTGGGCTGACTGGTTTAGGAATAGTATACTTGTTGAGAGATGAGAGATGAAAGATAGAATGGGCTGAGTGAGGTGAGTGAGGTGAGTGAGGTGAAGTGAGGTGAGTGAGGTGAAGTGAGGTGAGTGAGGTGAAGTGAGGTGAGTGAGGTGAAGTGAGGTGAGTGAGGTGAAGTGAGATGTGGTATGATACAGTGAATAGTCAAGGAGATAGGAATGAGAATAATGAAGCAATACACAAGAGACTACAGAGCGAAGGAGCTAGAGGTGGATCGGGGCTCACATTTGAGGATTAAGAACTGACGGATGCATATGGATATGGATATGACAATTTAATTGACAATCGATTGAACACTACAGAATGTAACTTACCAATAAAACAATTAAGAGTCTTGAATTGTGCTATACAATAGTGAGAAAATCATTTGCCGTTGTTTATGATATACTATATCTCAATCTTGTATATCTGCATAGATAAATTATGAAGTATGAATTGTAAAATGTCATTACCCCCTTTCGGTGTGCTATGTTTTGCAATTTGTCTTGACTTCGCATCCTGAGTCTCAATGTCCCATTTCCATAAATCGTGAGCTAACTTTCCATATAAAAAACTCCGTTCGTTAACCCTCATATTCATATTGAGAGGATTTCCTGTCTCTTCCCTTCTCCCTGGATAGTGTATGCTGCAATGTACAGTTGTATACATGCGCAACCTTCTAGGATCAAGAATATTCTTCAAGGGTAGTGATATCGGTATCTTCTACTCGCCACATGTACCACATGAAAATAGTTCTGGTGTTGTTGTCAGCTTTGTAATAAGTCTCAAACAACAATTGTGGGAATTTATGAAGGCAAGATACGGAGCGCAGACAGAACTCTTGTGAGTAAATTCTGTGAGCTAATACCGTAGCGAGAGCAAGGAGAAGGGTTAGAGCTGAGAAGGGACTTGAATAGAAACTTAGCATCTGCAATTCGGATGAGTGAACTGACACCCATCATCAAAATACAAAAGTGACGTATTCGCATGGCAATTGGACAGAGGTTAGATTCGTTGGAGATACCCCCCCCAAATAACAAGAACGAGTTTATAAAAAACCCACCTATATGGACTGAACTTCTCAGCCATCTCTTCCATTTCCTTCTCCGACATATACTTCCATTTTCCACCTCCTTTTGCTCCCTTTCCGGCCTTTTTCAATTTCTCAACATCCCTTCCAACGAGCGCGGCCATTCCTCTCTGAACTCCTAAATCTCCGGTACTGAAAACATCGAGACGTTTGAGAGCAAAACAGGCAAACATTTCGACACTCCATTTACCGAGACCGCGTACTTGAATTAGGGAATCGAAAACTTCTTCGTAGGAGGCGTTGAGGAGGAAGGGAGTGGTTAGGTCGCCATCTGTGAATTTGAGGGCGAGGCCGGAGATGTATTCGGCTTTTCGTTGAGAGAGACCAGCGGTACGGACTGAATCTGTTAGTGAAAAGGGGCATAAAAGAGGGACAGGGAGGTAAATTGAATGAATAGGAGCATGAGGATATCGAGGTTGGAGACAAGGTATGAGTAAAGGATTGTGCTCACGATTAGCTATGTCAGTAGCTACAATAGCGGAAGGGGTAGGGAATGTATGAGTAGATGGATCTGAATCAGGTGGATTGAAAAGAGCTACAAATTTAGCCTTGATAGATTTGGCTGCTGCACCGGAGACCTAATTTTATGTCAGGACTATACACATACAAAGGAACAACTGTTTGTTCTAAGATCCTTCCTACCTGTTGCGATATAATCCCACTGACTAACGCCCTGAATGGTTCAATCTCTTCAGCTAACCCCTCAGCGGAGAACATCTTACACGGGTGTTTCTCGATGATTGGTTTCAACTTCGGCTCAACTTTGATCAAGTGCTCTATAGCTTTGTTCAAAACATCGGAGGTTGATACTTTTACTGCAGGTGGCTTCGATGGAGATACTTCGTCCATAGATTTATTGGCAAGGAGTCGATGAGTTTCAGGTGTTACCAAGGGAGCATTTGTTCCATTAAGAACTGCAAGACGATCAACGGGAACAGAAGGTGGAGGCATACTATCATCAATGTCTTTATAAGGACTAGACATTGACCCGATAGCTGCCGGAGTTGGAGTCACTGGAGGCGGAAGAATCGAAGAGGTTTTCTTTTTCTTTGGGGTTGATAGAGGTGCATTCTTGGCGGATAGGGAGTCGGATGATTCATTCGAAGCAGTTTTCCTCTTTTTGGGATTTGGTTTAATGGGAGGCAGAGATGGTTCGGATTCTTTGGGAGATATAGCCTCCTTTTTGGGGGGGGCTTGATATTATAGGAGGCAGTGAAGAATCTGATATCTCTGAAGATACAGCCTTTCTCTTCCTGCTGGCTTGCACCTTAGATCCTGCTGGACCATTTCCAACGATAGCCTTGGTAGTTTTCGCCACAGGAGAAGCAGACGTAGTTTCAGATGGTTTCTCGGTGATAATAGAAGCTGCACTTAAACGAGCTGATCGTCTTGTAGACATTTTGTATTGTTTTGATGATTGCAGAGACAAGCGTTTAATTGATGAATTGATGAATCTGAATGACAGAACTCTGTGTAGCCTAATTACTGAATTGTGAGCAAGATACTTCCACTATCTCAAGGTATTAGTGGTTTGATCAATACTTCAGAGTGACAGATACCTGCATGTTCAGTCACATATTCAAACTCAAACTAATAGATGATTGTCTTGACTTCAGATAATAACTCCAACGCTACTTATACCGTAAGCTCAAGTACCATACCTGTGTTTCAAATTCATTGGAAAATGGCAAACTCACGTGATGACTCCTTTTCTGGCCAGGTAATCCGATCCAGATAGAGGCGAACTCGCGAGTCCGGACATTGATTGACATACAGGAAGGAAAATTGGCATAGGCATTGGCAAACGCAACACAAGCAACATACCTTGATAAGGGTACGAATCAGATGGTAGTGTATGTAAAAAAATAATTCCAACGTTAATCGATAGACAGTGGTGTGGGTAGTAGTGAATAACACAACACTTTTAACAACTCTAATGTATGTAAGTGAACATGTTGTATGTATATATCAAGTATAGAAGAAAATACTTATTATAAACTTCTTCTCTCCATCTTCCCAACTTCTCTTTCTGTGTGTGGAGTTCCCCTCAAAATTCAATAAATATTACAAAGGTCTAGTTCCTCTCTTTTCATTCGCTTATACACTCTTGGCATAATTTCTAAATTCGTGTAGGAACCTCGAGGCCACTCTGAACGGATCTCCCTGCCACTCGCGACCTCCTCAACTTCTTCAGATCTACCAAAACTCCCTGATTTTAGTGTCAAAGAGCTCGCAATTTCACCATCGTTTGTAACGGAATTTCGGGGCACTTTTACTTCTACGTCTGCGATCTCGAATTGATATAATCTACTTTTCTTACTGGTGGTTTTGAAGCCACAGGGGTTTCGCAATGTTGGGTCCAAAGGGTGGCATGAATTGGAAGGCTACAAAAGCACAATTACCGCCTGCGAGAGCGATATGGGTATTTCTTACAAGGACGCGATTTTTACTATGTGTAGCATTAGCTGGTGTCGTTGTATTATTATGGAGAGGAATTAGTACTTCAGCACAAGAGATGCAAAGGTAAGCAAGCACCTCACTCATGGCTTATCAGTGAATACCAAAGAAGATGAACAACGCTGATTTTGTACTGTGTCTAAAGATATTATTGTTGGGGACCTTCGAAACCACCGATGCAGATGACATTGAATGAACAGGCCGACTGGAACGCGCATTTACAAACACCCGTTATCTTCAATCATCACGAGCCAGTTGTTGTCAATTCTACCACCATTAAAAGTGTCGACCTCAACCCCATCCGATCTACTACAAAAGCAATTGCGAACAAGGAACGAATTTTGATCTTGACCCTCTCCGAGATGCCGCGTCATATTTGCCAAAATACTTTGATTTACTCTCACTCTTGTCATATCCACACGATTTGATTGATCTTGCTTTCTTGGTTGGCGATTCATCTGATGACACTCTCGCTGTACTTGCTGCAGAACTCGACAGAATCCAGGACGGAAAGGAAACTGAGGCATTCAACAGTGCTTTGATTGTTCAAAAGGACTTTGGTGCGGTTTCGGGCCAGACCGTTGAGGAACGTCATGCATATGCAGCTCAGGCACCCCGAAGAAAGATCATGGCTCGTGCCAGAAACTATCTCTTATCTGCGGCATTGAAACCCGAACATTCATGGGTCTACTGGAGAGATGCAGACATCGTTGATAGTCCTGAGAAGATCATTGAGGATTTCATTGCTCACGATAGAGATATCATTGTACCAAGTACGAATATTTCTCCTTTGTAGGATTCATTACATTTACTGACTTCTGCAGACGTCTGGTTCCATCGATACCGTGATGGGGTTGATATTGAGGGTCGATGTAAGTCTAGACCACACCCGGAAGTCTGCGGTGGATGCTAATTGTCTCTAGTTGATTACAACTCATGGATCGAGTCGGATAAAGCACTTAAGCTTGCCTCGAAGCTTGACAAAGACACAGTTATTGTCGAAGGTATGTATTAACCTCAACCTTTTTGTGACACTATATTAACAATACTCAGGTTATAAAGAATTCGATACTGGCCGTACTTACATGGCTTTGATGGGTAATTGGAGAGAAAACAAGGATGAGGAAGTCAAGCTTGATGGTATTGGTGGAGTCAACATTATTGTCAAGGCAGATGTTCACAGATCAGGTAATTGTGCCCGTTAATTCTTAAGAGGGCAAAGTATTGACCAATATATAGGAATTAACTTCCCCGCCTACGCATTCGAAAATCAAGCCGAGACTGAAGGGTTTGCAAAAATGGCCAAGAGAGCAGGGTATGAAGTTATTGGATTGCCCAACTATGTCGTCTGGCACATGGACACGGAGGAGAAGCCCGGTAACAACGTTTGAGATGCCACTGTATTAAGAAATTCGTTCGGACACGTCTTAATGCATATACGGAGTTTTTTTAGTCAGAAAGAGAAGATTTTGTATGATTGGATTCGGAAAAGGAACCAACGTTCAGAAAGGAGGGGAAAAATGATTCCCCCCAACCTATTTTCGAAGGGGTTTTTTTAACTTCGAGATTTCTTGTACCGAACTTTTTTCATTTTTCATTCTAGGGGGTCCGGGAGTTTGATCATTTTTTATGAATGAAGATAAGGGCTTGGGCTTGTTAGCAAGCATGGTTGTAAGGACAGCATACCACTGTAATAGAAATGTCCCAATTGCGATTTGTTTATGAATGGTCTTATTTCTTCTGTGGTGCACTGGATGAAAAAATGGAGGATGATGAATAGGAAGGTGGGGATTTAATAAGAATGAGAATGAGAATGAGAGTGAGAGTGCGGATTTGGTTGAGAGGGAGTAGAGGTTGTGAGATTTGTAAATGTTTCTATGGGTATGGATATTGAGGTATTTATGAACAATGGATGGGTGGATAGGTGGGTGTGTGGGTGTGGATAGTTGAGTGGTCTTGAGAGGAAATCAAAAGTTTTGGGAGAGGAGGGAAAGGAGAGGAGAGCAGAGGGTGGAATAGATAGAATAGCTTACTGGGTAGATACACTGGTTTGCGAATGAGAGGAAGTCTTTTTGTGTTAGTTGGATGTGTGTTTATGGTTCTTCTTGTGATGATGATTTGTGACACGGACTTGTGTTTGGATTCGTGGTGGTGGGAGATGGCTAGATGGTATTTGGTCTCACAGATCAGATCAGGAAGATTCTCGATATTTGAGATTGGGCTAGATTGGGTTATGGTCATGAGATGGAGAAGGACCGGGCAAAGTCAAAAGCTTTGGAGGATTGGAGGACTGGAGGATTGGATAATTGAAGAGGGGGCGAGGATATGTTTGACGCTTGCTTGCTTGACGTTCTGTGATTCAGGTATCTGATTGTTCGAATGTTCTTTTCTCTTGCTTGAGATTTATTTTGGTTTAAGGTTATGACGCTTAGATTTTCGTATGAGGAGTGCTCTAGATTTAGACTCGGCTTGGGTTACGGGATATTTTTTTCATACCTTAATTAGGCTCAATATCGAGATGTCTTTTCTTCTTAATTGTATCGCCACGGCTGGCTCCAGACTCCAATCCAGCCAGTCTATCTAGACAGCGAGATTGTAAAGTTGCACGACATCTCATTTCCCCCTTCATACAATCATCATATAGAGTAGAGTGACTTTTTGTTTTTCGAATTGATGATCATCGTTATAAAGTACAGAGCATCATATCTCATCTCGGTGCTTTTCGTTCCCCATCCTCTAAAATTCTCATCTCATCTCCTTCCTTCGCTTCACTTGCCTTTCCCACCTTCCCAAATATACATATCCAGCGTCGCCTCATCCGCATCCTCTGCTTTTCTCCTCTCTAGTTCTTCTTGGTAATGGTCAATGATTCCAAATCAGCACGTTCCTTGGCCTCGGCTTCGATCTCGGCAATGATGGGAGAGAGGTATGCGTAATCCTGTGAAGTATAATGATTAGAACGAGCGTTGAAATATGTTGGCAGAAATGAATGAGACTCACGTCTTCGGGCTTGGTGTGTTGATCCTTGGGCAAAAGTTGATGTTGAACGGAACACTATAAGATTGTTAGTTATGCGTCTCATTTTATTTCCTCAATTGCTTGGAGAGCGAGCAATGGCATGCGTACCTGGACAGCTCTTCGCAGACGGAAAACACGATCATAAGCTTCTTTTTGCGGTAAACGCTTGAGCGCAAGAAGAACCTCTTCGGATTCCTCGGGGAGTAAATCATCGGCTCTGTAATTTTGTGACGTGTTAGTTTCTCTTCTCTGCTTCGCATATCCCAATTCCCATGCATGTTCCTGTATTGCATGTTTTAGGTAGAATCAAAAATATCGCATACCTCAATCCCAACTGACGGTATCCAGCAGCATTGGTGTACCATGAGGCCAAAGGCTTCATCATCTTCAAGAGCCCGGGCTTCTTGGAAATCCAGCTTGCTAACGATGGTGCAGACATGATGGGTGGGTTGGGAGGGGTGGTATTGGGGAGAGAGGGGAATTCGACGATTATGGTGGTGTATATCGAGAGTGAAGTTCAAAAGTTATGAGTGTATTAGGTAAGCGAGTCAGCGTTGTTTGAGGAGTCTGTGATTGGTTGGGAGGAATGAGGGACGGAACGGAATAAAATGGGTGGGGGAAGATATCGGCATGATTAATGTTCACAATGAGATGAGTTTGTGTGGAAAGAGAGAGAGAGAGTAGAGGTGGATGTGGAAAAGAGGCACGTGGATGTGGGATGAGATGAATTTCTTTGTTTGAGATGAAGGTTTGTTTGAGAGGTGTATGTAATGGTTTCCCTTCTCAATTCGGGTTTGAAGATCTGCTGTTTAATAGATCATGTCATGGCGTGAAGTAGAATGTTCATGATGATCAAGATACTGTGAGAACTATTCGTCTAATTGTGGTTTTTCTACATTGGCCGGCTGCTCGAGTAGAATTAGAATATTGTATCAGTGCATCAGTGCATCAATCACAGTTTGAGCACTCGTTAGATTATGGTTCATATAAGATGCTAGTAGAGATGCTGCTGTGCCATTGAATGCTCGTTCATGGTAGGATAGGATAGGATAGGATAGGATAGGAGGGGGTAGGTACCTACAAAACATCTAGATATCAGGTGTAGCAATAAGCCAATTATACTCAAGTTCCAACTGTTCATACATGACATACCTATCATTCCTATCATCCATCTATCACTCACCTACCTAGGCCTCTTAAAATCAAGCTTTCCCTGTATCGAACCAAACGGGTTGATTTCCCCCACTTTGTTGAATTAGAATTATGATATTCTACTCGTAGTTCTATTTTCCTGTGTACCTACTTAACGTAACCTACATCTCCCACACAACCCTCTTTCTTCTTTTGATATCTAGAACATCTAATAGATATTCTCATAATCACAAATATCATCAAATCAGATTCAATCACAAGCTCAACCATAAGATTTCATCCTCTGTTTTAGATTGTACCTGCTTCTTACTTTGGCTTGGCGGTTCGACCCTTTTCTCAAGCGATTATCTATTTTACAAGCTTCCGAGAATTTTGAGCCGGTCTTGAAGTCCGGTGTTTCCCTCAACCACAAAACCCTCCACCCACTTTCCTCAAAGAACCAAAAAGCCCACCTTTCCAACTTTTCAACGCTCGCACAATCCACGAAACTTCAACAAACATCCAGGCGATTGTCAATGGCCTGCGATAACCGTTAGCTGTTGTGTCACTGGCGTGCTGCGTGGGATCTTTCCCCGCACACCGGGACACGAGATTGCAAGAAAAGAACGGCGACTATCAGTGAAGGCCTTCCAAACTCATCGGCGGCTTTCCTCTCCGCGAGATTCACTTCTGCCTGCCTCTGGCTGAAGTAGCAGAAGCTATTAGATATTTGCGCCAACAACAATTACAATGTCACATGAACGCAGCACGCCATCGTCATCGGGATCTGAGGATTTTGCATCCTCTCAACCTACCACCCAACAATTCACATCGAGTTTAACGTTTGGAGGAGGAGATTCACCTATTACTAGATTGGAGAGAATAGCTAGAACAAGGGCGGAATGGGAATTCAATGCATTTGCGGGCGCGGTCGGTGGTTTTACTTCTGGAGTTGTCACTTGTCCACTAGATGTTATTAAGACGAAACTACAAGCACAAGGGGGGTTCAGAGCCGCACAAGGACTAGGGTCACTACCTGCAGGACAAGCGGTATATAATGGTTTACTTGGAACTGGAAGGGTGATATGGCGGGAAGAGGGGTTGAAAGGATTGTATCGAGGCCTTGGTCCAATTATCCTTGGTTATCTACCTACATGGGCAGTTTGGTTTACGGTCTATGGTAGATCAAAACAGTTCTTTGGACCTCATACTGGTATGAATTATGAGTAAATCTTGACAATGACGATGGAAGCTAAATAAATCTCTACAGATAATACAGTAGTGGTCAATTTTTGGTCCTCAATAATTGCTGGAGCTTCGTCGACAATGGTTACGAATCCTATCTGGGTTATAAAGACACGTCTGATGTCACAAGTTAGCCGCAAGGCAAAGAATAACGGAGCCAGACCACCTTGGCATTATCGGTCAACTCTAGATGCAGCAAAAGTAATGTACAGGACTGAAGGAATCCTATCCTTTTATTCTGGTCTGACTCCTGCACTACTTGGTTTGACACATGTGGCTGTCCAGTTTCCAGCTTATGAATATCTCAAGAAGAAGTTCACAGGCAAGGGGATGGGAGAGTCAGCAGAAGGTGATGAAAGTGCTCATCTATTTGGAGTATTATCCGCAAGTGTGCTCAGTAAGGTCATAGCAAGCTCTACCACCTATCCTCACGAAGTCATTCGAACAAGACTTCAAACTCAACAAAGATCCATGCCAGCTGCTTCAACAGAATATGGCGCATTTAGGGGAGGTCTAGAAGGACACTCCCATCAACACGGGGCTTCCAATCCCCTTGCTCAAGTCAAACAAGCGGTCCCGAAATATAGGGGCATTGTGATGACATTTAAAACGATATTACGCGAAGAAGGATGGAGGGCATTCTATGCAGGTATGGGCACGAATATGATGAGAGCGGTACCTGCGGCCACAACCACCATGCTCACCTATGAATATGTTATGAAACATTTAAATCATGCCAAGGCAGAAGGATTACGGAAATCGGGAGAAGATTGGTAAATGTCTCACATATTGGACCATCTTTCTCGGCAAGATGTATAAGCTTCAAAAAAATCGGCATTCACCTCTGAGGTTTGAGGTATTGAAGAAACCAAGAAGCATTTTTTGCATTTTAAAGCATTTGAAGTTTGCGGGCGTTCGGTCATGTACTCAGCCATTAGGTATTGAGTTGGCATGATGCGGCCTTTGTGTTTATGGAAGATATTACAGACGTTCGTATCTGAATTATACCTTTTTGTGAACAGGGGAATTGTACTTATAGATGGTATTAGCCATCATGGCAAATGATTGTTTGATATTCCACCTTGACCTGAATATGCAGTCTTGTAAAGATCTCCTTAAACTCCCACATGTAACCTCGAAAGATAAATCGGTGAAGTAGCTGTGTACTTCAATAAACCTAAACACCGTTCCCATCTCCATTGTTATTTTCATTCGACATTATTCTGCTTTCCCAGCAAAACCACCTTCTCTTCCCTTCGCCGCTCTCTCTCTCAACTTCCTCTCCACTTCATGCCTCTCAGGCGCATTTCCTCTCCTCCTCAATTCCTCCAAATTATCTTTCGCCGTTCCTAATAATTGTTTCACAGTCGTTTGCTCCACAGGTGCATCTAATTGTCCATGACGCCTTAAACTTTCATTGGCCCAATCGATTTGTCCACCGTCTGCTTCGCGATGTTTTTGAGCATTCTGCTTGGCTGCCCGGATGGATGTGCGGGTGTATGTGAATAGGAGTAGTGCCATGGTTGCAGCTGCTAGAGGAGCAGTCAAGGTCTAGAAGGAGGGGTTGTTAGTGGGAGCTGAGAAGGAGCTGGGAGGGATGGAGGGGATTGGATGGATGGATAAAGGGAAATGGAATAATATGATTGATACCTTGCCATTTAAATTGAATTTGCGAGGAGCCATGGTGAACTGGTTTTTGTAAATTGATCAGAGGAATTTGAGTAACTTCACATTTCTCTTCTCATTTGCTTGTAGCTGTATTATGTATACCTAGTAGGTGGATAAACTCAAATAATCGGATGGTTTTTTTGAACATGGGAAATAAATAGAGGACGTCATGCGATCTTCGGGGTTCGATCGACAAGGATCACTAAACAAGGGACTTTACCACTTTTTTTCCAAAGAGATAGATAAGTCCTCAACACTTTTGCATTGAGTACCTATTTATGAATCGTTTGCCTGTAATGGAATTTATGAATTGATGGATCGTGTTCGATAATTTCTCAAGGAGAGTTTTGTGTGGGTTTCGCATGGGAATTTGTTCTACGTGTTCGATACGCAAGGTAGAGATATGAAGGGACTTAATCTCGCATCGGCATCGGCGTGGGCGAGGGCGAGACCGTGTGCAAAGACAATTTCGTGGACTTGTGGGAGATGTGTACAGAGAGGGACTAGGAAATCTTGGGTGCAGAATGTGTCGTATTCGACGGGGAAGAGAGGAGGAAATGGATATGGGCATGGATATGGGAATGGATATCAGCAGAACGGCAGGGGAAATAAAGTGGTTATGGCTTCTGCCGTGGGGGGCGTGGCGGCAACGGGACTTGCTTTCACGGATGATATAAGGCACGCGTATGAAGCGGTTGAGAGGACAGGGAGAGTGGTCAGTACGTTGTTTGTTTGTATCAATGAGTGAGTGGTTTTCCAGCATTGTGTAGGATCGTTTGGGACAAGTGGCTAATTCGAGGGGCGACAGTTATCGAGTTACGTTGAACCACAATGAGAAGATTGAAGATCAGGCAGAACAGGATAGGAGATTGAAAGATTGTCATCAGAGATGTGCAGACCGGACATTGAGAGTCTTGGAGAAGAATGGGAGTATATTTATAAAACTTGGGCAACATTTGGTAGGGGATTTATTTATATCTAGATGCATCATGCGTCGGCTAATTGGTTTTCGCAGAGTGCTATGAATTATCTCCTGCCTTTAGAATGGACGACTACATTTATACCCTTGCAGGATAAATGCCCTGTTTCATCCTTGGAGTCGATAGAGAATATGTTTATGATGGATACCGGCGAACAACTTTCGGATTACTTCTCTGAATTTGCACCTCTACCGATAGGGGCAGCATCTCTAGCTCAGGTCCATTTAGCTACTGTCAAGGAAACGGGACAAAAGGTTGCGGTGAAGGTCCAACATCCAAACTTGGCGGAATGGGCGGCTCTTGATCTGGCATTAACTAGCTTCACATTTGCGACGCTGAAGAGATTCTTCCCGGAGTATGATCTAGAATGGTTATCATCGGAAATGGAGATTTCATTGCCAATCGAACTGGACTTTACCGAAGAAGGAAAGAATGCTTTACGGACAAAGGATTACTTCTCACGGATACCGGAACTACCATTGATTATACCTGATGTTTTGTGGGCGAAGAAACGTATATTGGTTATGGAGAATGTTGCAGGACACCGATTGGATGATCTCGAATTTCTTGATTCTAATGGTATCGATCGCGATGAAGTTTCCGCTGCCCTCGCTCGTATCTTCAACGAAATGATCTTCGGCAACAATGCTCCTCTACATTGCGATCCTCACGGGGGTAATCTCGCTATTCGCAAAAACGACAACCGCCGTGGCTCCAATTTCGACGTCATTCTTTACGACCATGGTCTGTACCGCGATATACCTCTCGAACTCCGTCGCTCTTATGCAAAACTCTGGCTAGCAGTAATTGACGCTAATGAACCCCGCATGCGCAAATACGCTAAAGAAGTGGCTGGTGTAACCGATGAACAATTCCCCCTATTCGCCTCGGCTATTACAGGTCGCGATTACACCATCCTAACCAAAGATGTAGCACTCGAGCGATCGGAAGAAGAGAAGAAAAATATTAATGATGCATTGGGTGAAGGAATGCTTCAACAACTTGTACAAATGTTGGGACAGGTTCCGCGAATTATTTTGTTGATATTGAAAACGAATGACTTGACGAGGAGTTTGGATGAGAATTTACATACGCGACAGGGACCTGTGAGGACTTTCTTGATTCTGGCGAGATATTGTACGAGAACGGTTTTTGAGGAGCAGTTGGAGCAAATAAAAGCGAGGGGTAGTCTTTTGTGGCCGACGAACGGATTTAGATTGTTGGTGGCGTGGTTGGGATATGTGAGGGTGGGGTTGAAATTGGAAGCTTTCGAGGTTTGGTTGAGAGTTAAGAGAGTCATGGGTACAGCGTGAAGATCGGGGATTGAGAAATAATATTCACAAGGAGTGGAGCGGTTATATTGAGCGTATATTGCGTGCATAGATTAGTTAGCGGAGGGAAAGAAGTTTTCTTCCTTCGGATTGATGTATTGGGTGGGGTTGGTTGGGCTCCTTCTTCTTTTTAGCGCGCATGAAGATTATTATAGATAGATAGATTTGGAAGAGCTGAAAGCAGAAAGATAGATAGTGTGTATGAAATACGATTTCTATTATGTTACTTTCATTGTGGGTCGTAGGTTGTAGGACGTAGGCGTGAAAGCACGAGGGAGATGGAAGGGCGATGGAGGATTGGGTTTTGGTAGTTGAGAGGGACTTGGAGTTGGTTACTTAGTAGGTGCGAAGGGGATGTGTAAGTGCAAGGGGTAGATGAACCCCGACTCTAGCGCAGAAACAGATGTTGTAGCGGGTACATCAGATGAGGTTTATGGCGGGGACGATATTTCCATTGTACAGTTTGGTAGGAGTTACTAATGTGAAGGTGAAAAGATACTATTGGGCGAGGAGATGAATGTGGGAGGTTTATTGGTGGAAGATAGATAGATGGGTGGGGTGAGGAAATAAGCTGCAGGAAATTGAATAGAGGAGGAGAAGGAGTTTGTGGTTATTTTCTGGTATAGCTGGTGCGTTACATTACGTATCCGTTTGGAAGATACTCGCTTGTCTTGGACTTGGTAATTATAGATAAGAAGCTTTTTTTTGCTGGTGTTGAATATTGCAGGGGTGATGTGACATGTGAGCTACTGAGGAGATGAGATGAGTATCTCATTAAGATTAAACATTGTAAGACCATTGTGTGTCAGTTGGATGTCCTGCATGGAAAAGACGACTTGTTGGTATCTGGGGTATAGAATAGTGGCTAGCTGTGGGAATGTTGGGATCTTTACGAGCTGTAAGATTGTTTGGATATAAGAGGTTATAGCCATACCCAATATATAGCGAAGAGCAAGGCAACACAAACACTTTTTACCCTATCACTTGGATAATACTCATGTGCACGGGTTTTACGAGTAGATCATTAAGCCTGGGTCGTAATGCCACTTAGAGGTAATCTCACAAGTAGTGATAGGATTCTCAAACATGGACGATGAGTTGAATGTGATTTGCATGAATCATCTTAACATGTTCATCAGAAGTATGTTCTGTATCTCACCCGCCCAAGCTTGGATTCTAAGTCCTGATGGCGCAGACTCACCAAGTGAACATCTCCTCGACTACCTTGATTGGAGAATTGATATCTTGTCCTTGTCGGGTATATACCAACCGACCTCCTCTAGAATCCAACTCAAGGATTGGATCAACACTCAACGGTCTCTGGTCAGAGTAAGCGTCCACTTCGCTCCATACACTTTCTTCAATTTCCACAATTCTATCCAAAGCATTCGCGACTAGTACGCTATTCCAAAGTCCCTCCTGACGTTCAAAGGAGCGGAGAAGACGAATAACCTGTCGACGAATTATAGGATCCTTGCAATGGCGAACTAGATTATAAAGAGGGATGATAACGCCCATGTCCAAATTAAAAGAAATGGTTGATTCTCCACAGCTACTGTCGGATAAGATATAAGCGACGATTTTCTGGCCCAGCATTATCATTCTCTGAATTTGAGGCATGAATTCACTCCAGTGTAAGCGATGTGTTAGAGGCAAATACTGGATATAGCATGATATGTGATTGTCCAACGAGTGAAGTTGTAGTACTGCAACGGCGATATCTTCTTTTGGGGTGAAAGACGAGCCTCTCGCTGCTATAAATGCTTGGAGGTCATGGGAGTATTTTGAATGTAGAGCTTCAAAATTATCAATGATCTGACGAATACGGGTTTCGAAATCGATGGGGAAATTTACAGCATCGGCTGGAGGCTCGGAAGCACGCGCGACACTGCGTTGGAATAGGTAACAACCGTATTCAAAACAGTTTTTGGCTTCTTCGACATTGCGAAAGTATATAGGAACATTGTCGTTTATTATTCCAGAGAGTGAGTCTCCATAGAATAAAGGTTCGTAACGCTCGGCTAACTGTAGCAATAATATTAATCAAAGTATAGACAGGGAGATGAGGGGAAGGACAAAGGACATACAAAACCTTTTATTGTCGTACATTCTCTGTCTAATCCTGAATATATTCTAGCTAGAGCACCTGGAGAAGCATACAAATCGACAGGACTTTTCGAACCCAGTGTTTGATGATAAACCATTCCATTCTGTTGGTCCCATTCGGTTTCACGCAGCAGCTTCGCGCCACTTTTTATATGTGCTCCTGCCGACGCACGCTGCCCTGCTATACTCTGTGAGAATTAGCATCTAAGCAAGCACATTAATCTTAACAGCACAATAGTCAAAGAAACGAGAAATACCTCAAAGTTAGCAAAAATAATGCAAGCAATAAGGCAAACATCAACACCTCGCTTCTCATTCCGAGACAGAGGAGCTAAGAGATCTCTAATCGCAAAGTTATATTGCTCCAAAGCAAAAGCCTTATCGATATCAGAAATTCGCGTCTTCTGCTCTGACGATTCATGGATAGCGCCTAGGGCTACCACGGCATGGCGTACAGCGGACTCGTGATGAGCAGTTTGAAGCACGAGTCTCTCCCAGAAATCGGAACCGAAAAATCCGGCTAATTGAGAGCAAGTCCGTTGCACGAAGAATGCAAATGATCGCTTTGATTGCGGGGAACTGAGGATTTCAAATGAAGAGTTTGTTTTGATAAGACTCATGTTATCCGAAGGTGACGGGTCCAGGGTTGGGACATGATAGCCTGGACATATCCGACGAGTTGATGTACATTTAAGACATGCGGGCTTTGCCTCGTCACACTTTATTCTTCGTACTATGTAGTAATTTAGGTTTTGTTATCCTTTTAGTTTTCTGAAACTTACTCCTACAAGTTAAGCAACCGGTCTTGGTCTTTGGCCGGTATGCTCGCTGTCTCCTTCCTTTCGCTACCTTGGGCATTGGAGACTAAACGAAAACTATCTACTGATATGACTTCAAATCTTAATAGTGAAATTTAATAATCAACTCGAGCGGTAAAATTAGGCGTAGCGTGATGTTTGCTATACTAAAAAGCCGAAGGCACAGAATGAGTAAACAATGCGGGAATGGGAGATGATACTCGGTGGCTGACGGCATTCCCCCTGAATCTAAGCCACACAACCCCTAGTCTCTCGAGCCACACCACATACGAGTATGACATAGATGTCAGCTTAAAGATAACGAAAGCTGCTATCCTAGGTTAGGTTGGGACCCCTTGCAGAGTGTGATATTTGAGCGTTATCTGCTTATTTTCCTCTGTAGATGTTTTCCTTGATTAAACACAGGCGCAACACCTATGACATAAACGTTGATAAGTATCAGAACTAGTACCAGAGTATTAGAGTACTTTAAAACTCAGACCCATAGAAAGGGGGAAAGAAGACGAAGAACAGAAAAATGAGTGAAATGTCAGCGGTGAAATGGTCAAAGCATTGCGCTCAAGAGGATCTCCTCGCTTCCACACAGCCAAGAAATAGAACCCCTCTGCAGAGGGACTCATGTCTTGGCAAGCGTGGGCATTATATTCGCCATCTACTTCTGATCGTGTTTATTTTAGCATTTGCTGTTGTTTCAAAGGACATCTGGAGTTCCTACTTTCCTAGAGCTCTATGGGATTCTTTGCCTAGCCAGAACAACATTTTTATTCACGATCCAGAGAATTTTGATTGGGAAACAGCAAGTTTCCACAATCCTTATTGAAGCTTAATTGCTAATATGGGTCCCTTTATAGATTACACCATCATCAGAATTAAGCTTTTATCCTTGCTATAGATCATTTGAATGTGCGCGTCTCGAACTACCACTCGATTGGAATAACCAATCGACCGATTCGAGGCGTGTGGCAATAGCATTGATCAAACTCCCATCAAAGGTACACGCGAGTGATCCACGAAATGGTGGTTCTATCATTATCAATCCAGGTAAGCTAGTGATGTTCCCTCGATGAAGCTAGAGCAAATAATGATCGACTTCTAGGTGGTCCAGGAGGCTCGGGTATCAATCTTGCCAGGAATCAAGCACGTAATCTACAGACCATCGTAGACTCTCCCTCAAATCCTGATGATACTAGTAACACCAAAGTCACTAGCAAGTATTTTGATATTGTCTCGTTTGATCCTCGGGGAACTGGTTTTACGACTCCTACTTTTATATGCTTTCCCGATGCTGCTCAACGAATGAATTGGAATATCGCTTCAGACGCTGAAGGGATGTTGGGGAGCTCCAGCACAGCCTTCAAACTTATGTGGGCGAGAAAACACGCCCTTGCTGATGCTTGCTATACACGTATGGGTGTTGATGAGAATGGAGAGGATGCATTAGGAGCACACATGAATACACCAGTCATTGCAATGGACATGAAAGCGATCGTGGAGGTCTTGTCTAAATCAAGGGTAAAATTGCCAAGCCGAGGTCAAGAATACACTAAATCATCGCAGATAGAATCTGTAGATAAGATTCAGTACTGGGGTTTCTCGTATGGAACCTTGCTAGGCACGACCTTTGCAGCTATGTATCCGGATCTTGTTGGCCGAATGGTTCTTGATGGTGTGGTTGATGCCGATCGCCATTACGCTGGTAAATTCCTCCTCCTTATATTCAAATTTCTATTCGACTCTGCTAACCAAAAAGGCACCTGGGATGGGAATCTCGAAGATGCAGACGCCATCATAAAAAAGTTTTCTGAGTACTGTTTTGAAGCAGGTCCTGAACGCTGTGCTCTTTACTCCAACAGAGGCCCAGAACATATTCATGATATTTTAGACGATATTATCACTTCTGTCACAGATGCTCCCGTTCCAGTATCTATCTCTGACGTACGTGGACCCGAGCTCATCACGAGTAGCGATGTGAAAGGTGCAGTTCGATTAGCCTTGTACTCACCATTCGAAGAATTTGAGAGACTGGCAAGCATTTTGTATGAAGTCTCCCAAAGAAACGGAACACTTCTTGCAAATTCCAAGTCAATTGAATATCCATGGCAGGATCTTACACCAAGATGTCGTTTGAGTGATCCATACTCCATAAATTGCTTCTCGCCGCCTATCGACTATGCCGAGGAGGTTGTTGGAGCCATCTCGTGCTCTGATGGGCCCGATCAAACCAATATGACTGCCACTGATTACCTGAAATATTGGCAGCGAGTAAGGAAGGAGAGCATCTATTTGGGCGATCGTTGGGCAAAAAACCGGATGTTGTGCGCTTTTTGGAAGCTCAGACCAAAACTTATATTTCCAGGTATGTTTTTTACTCGTGGTATGGAGTATTGAACCCTAACAGCCCTCCTCAGGTCCCGTTGGAGGCTCAACTTCAGAACCAATTCTATTTGTCTCGAACACCCTGGATCCTGTCACATCTCTTACGAAGTAAGTATTGTATTTATTCTTGTGCCACCCGATTCTTGCTAATCATCAGCAGTGGTCGAAATATGAGTAAAAGATTCAATGGATCGAGGCTTTTACAGCAAGATTCGGAAGGTGTAAGTTACCTACTTTTCTTAAAGTGATCTCATCTGGTTTACGGAAAGCTGAAAGAACGTAGCATTTATTCGTCTCGACGCCTTCGATCTGCAGCGCTAGGGTTGTGAGGCAATATTTTCAAACAGGTGCACTTCCGGAAGTTGGAACAATATGCCCCGTGTACGATAGAGCATTTGGCTTATCTGGCGAGGGACGTTCAACTACCATGAAATATGGCGATGAAATTTTGCTTGAGGCTTTGAGGGCTATAGCCAATAGTATGTGGTGAATGGAAGATACCATGTGGAAAGCGTAAATGGTGGATAACGCAATTTCTCTAGTATATTTCTCCGAATGTTAATTTCCCACAGATCATCCATAATATAACGCATCTCCAAGATTGTACTGCCCTCGAAAGTAATCTTGCATTGAACCAAAGGGCATTGTCTGAACTGATTGATATTGCAGCTCTTGAGGTAAAATTGGCGGTGCGACTCCGGTGCTTAAAATCTCGTCTAGATGGTGTCTACAAATATCCGTTTGTATGCAGTTATCAATATATTTCCTCTCAGAATTGTACATTTCGCGTTTCAAGATATTCGAGCCTTGGGCGGGTTGTTCTGACCAAGAGTCACGAATCCGTGATAGATCGCTTCGTCTCCGGCTCAAGCTCGATGGTATACGGTGCTCTAGTCCTATTCGGCGAGACTCAGTGTCGTTATTTATGATGTATGCCGCCAGTGGTGTTTCCGCTATAGATGGTTGAGATGATAATTCTTCTAAGGTTTCTCTGCGTTCAATCGTATTTCGTGTAGGGTTATACGTCTGGTAGTCTGAGGTAAACATAGTACTCCTTCTCTTGAACCTTGAAGTTCGTGATATCGTCGCGGCATCTTCTCCGACTTCATAAAGGTTGAGTATTGGTTGAGATTTTGTTCGGACAATGGGTTTGGTTAGTGACAACCTAGATGCATGACTGATGGCTGAAGGCACAGAATCACGACTTGAAATCTTATCATCTTTATCAGAAGCAAAAAACTCATTGTTAGTCCCAAATGAGACTTGTAGTGAAGGCAGATGTCGTGTTTGGCCACTTTCAGGATACAGCCAATTGTAGAGAAGTTGCGGCAGCTTGTTGCTCTCTGACGACTATCAGATTCCAGTTATCGACAAACAACCAAGTAATGATTCGAAGCGTACCTTGATGTTGTTCTCCTTGAGTATCCTCCCATGCTATATAATATCGATCAAAGATTCCAAAAGCAACACAGAAAACATTTTCCACATCCTGAAGTCGTGCTAAAGCGGATGGCCTGTTCCGAGCTGTAGGTATGACTGTGAGAAGTTTTTGTCGTGTTGGTATTTGATGATACAAAGGTTCGCCACTGCAAAGATTAACTCTGTGGAAGTGTTGTTACCACGCGATTTATCTCACCTTGACTTTGATTCGAAATATGTTACATTCGATACATTTTTAATTGCTTTATCCTGTGGACTCGGAAGGGAACTGGTGGGAAATTCGGGTAGTGGCGTAGAACGATCGGAGAAAGTAGAAGATATCGTGCTGGCGATGCTTGGAAATGAACCAGAGCTTGAGGCGTAAGAACTCCGTGAACTACGAGATGAATCTGATGATGATCCAACAGAATCCCGCGAAAACGTTTCAGAGAGTGAAGATGCAAAATACAGAAAGCGAGATGCCGAAGGGAATCTAAGTATGATAATACTGAGCTCCATGTGGACGAACAAAGCGGTACGTCAAATCACCCAAAACTTATACATTGAAACACTGTAGTTCAAATATTCGTAATGACATCAGCTTGTATTAAGGATAGGTGATGTAGTATATATATGGTGAACTAAAGCTCATGAATATACCCGATTAACATTGAATTCGAAATAACAATTGTTTGATTTGGTATACAATATCAAAAAGGTTACCCGTACATAGACCAGGTATCCATCTAATGTTGTCTATGAAGCTTGGCTCAACATCGTAACTGTAACAACACCATCGACCTTGCAACTAGTAAGGTAAAATGGTGTCAAGGAACATTCTTTCTCTTCACCCAATGAATAACTCAGATGAGATCGATACTGTCGCAGATACTTGACAGGAGGCATCAGCGATATCAAACACGGAAGAATAAGGTTCATCACTTCTTCATGTTTCGAATGTGTTGAAATCCATCGGCCATCGAGTTCCAGTTATGTTTGATGATATAGTAGTAAAAGGTTATCATATCGATCTAGACAAGCCGACGCCTATGTGAATAAAAACTGCGAGTGAAATAATATGCCATGACTTCGCTGTATTGATAGGGACTTCAAAAATTTCGTTGAAGGTCTCATTCACATTGATGTGATGTTTGACCAGATGATTACGTAAGGTAGAAGCCATTGGTGAGCCAATCACTCGCAGTAGAAATTGTGTTTATGAGTTTGACATGAATCCGACATGGACCGGAAATAAAATTCAAAAGTGTTCTTATTCCCAGTCGATGTAAATTTTAAAATTTGGCGCCAGATTTGACGACCTGTTTCGCTCGTGTCGTTGAAAGAAACCGTTCAAATTTTCAGACGTGCAACAAAACAATTTTGAGTTACAATTCACGTGATATATATGTATATAGAGCTTGGACCATCTTGTCATATTCGCAGTCTCGGGCCAGTAAACATTTTTATACATTTATCCGAGCTGATCTGAATTAACTTCGAAGCTTCTGAGTTGACTGTCATTATATATGCATACTACTACGTTGTTGTTCATCGGGATCCAAAATACCACTTGCATGTCGGGTTTCCCTTTCAATATATTGTTGAACTATGTCTCCTCCTAACTGATAACACTTATTGTTCAACGTTGCATGAGATTTCGGTGTTATGAAACTTCCACTCAAGCTGGAAATCAAGCACGCGCCCCATCTTTGATACGAAGAACGCTTGACAACTTGCTATGTGTGCAAGTAAACCTTTCGTTGAAACATTTTCACTAATACATCATACTTCGTACGACATGTCATGGCATTCTGAATCATATCATGTGATTTTACTTTACGCCATACGATATTCTTCTCACAGATTATACCATGAAACTGCACCGCTATTACATCATGATAAACTTATCTCATTTCTCCTAGTGGCTTGCCCCTCCGTACTCGCTCCTCTTGCCTACTTAGCTCAATCTCTACTACTTTTCTGTCCTTCCCTAGCTTCCCAATCAGGCGATCATCGTCTCGATCATAGTAAAGAGCCCACATACCAGTTTCTTCACCATTTGCTTCTTCTTTGACAGCACAAAATCCCTCCCATCTCTCGAGGGTCAACCTTCTGTCTTGTCTGGTGCAGTCGAATGGACCTGTAATGTTAGGCTGAGCATCCAAACACACTCCATACTTGACTTCGTAAGTTTCTCTGTCAACGTATATCCAATTCATTATTGGAGCAGCGTCTGTGATAGTATAGACAACGCCTTCGTAGTTGGAATCAGGATATGGAAGACAATATCCTGCGAATGGATGTAGTGTGGGATCATTCATGTCCTCATTGATATATAGCTGTTTTTTAGTGTCAGCTTCTGATGCCCATAATTATCTTCTCTCAAGATCACTGAGATGGATGAATCAGTGTCGTTACAGAGGAGGCTACTTTGAAACTAGTGCATTCTAACACTAACCTTGAAGTCTCTGAGAACAATCTGCCTATGATCAACCTCAAGGCTAAGCGGTGATGCTTCAACACAACTTGCAATCAAATTGCATCTCCGTGCACGATGTTCTTCTTTGCGATCTTTAGTTTGGCCTTGTCGAATTGCCTCGTTCGTGGCGAGTAGCGCTGGTGCTGTCACCAGAGCAATGAGTAGTGAGGTCATACTTATCTTTGCTTGTTACAACTGGTTTGGAGGTTTGAATTAGATTAAGACAACGACTGAAAAAGAGAGCTTGAAGAAGAAGTTTGCCACACAGTGTTGATAAACTTGATTTTAAAAACAACATTCTCGAAGTGAGAACGTATGATTGATTGAAGTAGTTCTAAAGCATTAATCTGTACCTTTTCGTCTTAGTACCGTCCATCATTTGATTTGGAATGATCAGCAAACCATACCCCATGAGTTACCGTGCCAAGCATGGGGTTTCTCAGTATTCGCAGAGAACAAAACGTTACGATTGTTTAAATGCATTACATCACGGCGCGAGTTTCGCTGATTTGATACTTTCAGTGCCTTGGATCGTTTCGAATGTGGATCTGCCAAAATCGGTCCCGCGAATGTGTGGATAGTGAGGGATGATCTATAAAGTTGACTTGTTAACCGTCTTGTCAACAGCGCCAACATCAGTTCTCTTCAAGTTCATCTAAGATTCGACAAGTTAGTACTCAAATCATCGAACCATCTCCTCGACTAGTTTCCATAGAGCTCCATCTCCTACCACAACATGTCTACCACGAAGTAAGTTCAACCCCTCTTCTCGCAGCACTCGATACTAACACAAAACCAGCACAAAATCGCCCGACGGAAGAGCATTCAACCAAACCGACTATACACCATCCTTCTCCACCGATGAACCAAACAACGGACGAAGAGCCACCACCGGAATCAACACAAACCCATTACCCAACCCTCCCACCTCAGAAGGTCTTCGCGCACCAGCAGGTACCTATCATTCCCCCAGTCGATGCAGAAACAAATGTATTTCCCCAATAAAAAACTAATATCTCCACAGGAAATCTACTCAAAGGCGCCACAGAAGTAGATGGCAGTTTAAAATCCGCAGCTGTAATGGTCAGTATAAAACTTGATCTAGAGGCTGAGGTTCATCTGACGGCGCGGATACGTGGAGATATTGTTATTGGACTTTACTAAGATAAGAAAAAGTAATAGAAAAAAGTCATTTTGGAGTTCTGCATTAGCGAGGATGGGGAATATCAATAAGATGAATTGGGATTTGGTCGATGTTTTGGGTGGAAGGGTTTGCGGTTAATTCTAAGAAAAATACTGGAGACTATTGGTTCTTTCATATCTTGGATTTTGTGTATAGTGTAGAGTTGGAGTTGGAAGATACAAACTATAATCACCATATCCAAAACATCTTTTCAGGTCGACAAGCCTCCATATCACACTTATTGATTAGAATTACAATTTTCTTTCCTCCTGATCAAGAAAAACCGAGAATCTTGATCTTAATTATATCAGTAGAAAGTATCGTATCGTGTAATTTCCCTATCCTCCCGGATTTATCTCCTGATACATAATAAAACCCACTATCTCAATCCTTTGTCACAAAGGGAAAAAAGACATACGACCACCATAAGACATTCGCATCGCAGATATTTTCACCATTCCAAACCTTAAAGTGCTTGAATTATATAACATTACAGACAAATCTCTGTTCGTTCATAGAGCTACGAGTAAGAGCATAAATACCAATCATCATCAACAATCCTCTCACCAGTCCAGTGCTGGAATGACTTCTTACACCTCTGTATAATAGCTATAACTATACCAAAGTTTACAAGTACAGAATGCCACGAGCGATGAGCAGTGTTCTCTATGGAGTGAGTTACTTAAGGAGTATCCATCACACCAAACGATATAGAACATGAGATAATACACTCCATCATCGAAACCCTGAAGGATATCCAGCTGCTTATTTTGTATTTCCTGCTTGCATCAGCTTTCGCGTAATACTCTAGATACAAGTTATAGTCTTAATCCTGTCTACATACATACATACATACATACATACATACACACCCACCCATCTCTCAAGAAACAACTCCTATCTCCCCGTCACATCATCCACTAACAAGTAGCCACACCCCCAAAATAAATCCACATTTCTTCTCATCCAGAATCCACATCCAGCTAATCTCAAAACCATTTTACTCCTGGAGATATCCCCGTCTTCGCAATACCTCATCAAACAAACAAAGGAGGACTCAATATAACATAACATCTCAACCCGATACATGCATGCTCGAGGCTATAGATCCAGTCCGCCAAGTAAACATCCCATCAAATTCCCTGTGAAAAATCCAGAAAAAGCATACGTGCTGCCGGCCAACTCTTGGAATGATACGATATACCCAACCCCCAAATGCGGGTATGCAATATCCCATCCATAAGCGAATAAGAAACCTCTAATTCGTATTCGTTTTCGAGTTGTTACCCCTTTGAGCTAGACCCCCAACCCCTGGCTAATGTTACCTTGTATCGAGATCCGAATACGCACCCCTGTTCCCATCACGTGTTTGTTATTTCTCGATACTTATTAAGTCTATCTTCACCCTACTGCTTCGATTTGATATTCTCCAGTTCCATTGATCCAGTTACTTCTTTCTTCTCTATATCAACAATCCCCTCAACATCACCATTCACCCACTGCAAAAAATCCCCCAACATGTCCACCCCCGTAGTCCTCGAACCCCAAGATCTCAATCGAGATTCCGCCTTCAAGAAAGCGCTCCACGGCCAAACCGGTCAGACCGACAGACCGTTCATGAACTTGATACACAAAGACAAGAACGCGCAGAAGCTAGCCGCAGATGAATATTTCAAGCATTGGGATAACAAAGTTGCCAAGGATGAAACGTCGCTGGATCGTGATGCGAGACGGAAGGATTATGCTACGCTCACTCGTCATTACTATGATCTTGCAACTGATCTCTATGAATATGGATGGTGAGAAGCACGTCCCCTTCATGCGTCACACTCCACAAGCTTTCTCCTATCAGAACAGCACTAACCACATCTCCCTCCAGGTCACAAAGTTTCCACTTCTGCCGCTTCACCCCGGGGGAGCCCTTAAAGCAAGCTCTCGCCCGACACGAGCACTATCTCGCCCTAAAAATGGGTCTTCAACAAGACCAGCTCGTGCTCGACGTCGGATGCGGCGTCGGCGGGCCCGCCCGCGAAATCGCCAAATTCACCGATTGCAAAATCGTCGGGTTGAACAACAACGACTACCAAATCGAGCGCGCGACGCGCTATGCGCAGCAACAGGGACTAGCTCATCGAGTCAGTTTCACGAAAGGCGATTTCATGCAAATGAGTTATCCGGATAATAGTTTTGATGGCGTCTATGCGATCGAGGCTACAGTGCACGCGCCCAGCTTGGAAGGTGTGTATAGCGAGATATTCAGAGTTCTGAAGCCGGGTGGCGCGTTCGGAGTGTATGAGTGGCTTATGACTGAGAAATATGATAATGATGATCCTCAGCACCGTGCTCTTCGTCTGGGTATCGAGCAAGGAAATGGAATTAGTAATATGGAGAAGATTTCCGTTGCGCTTCAAGCCATGCAGAAAGCTGGCTTCATTTTAGAACTCCATATGAATGTTGCGGACCTTGAGGGCGGGGATGTGATTCCATGGTATTGGCCTCTGAGCGGTGACTTGAAATACATGCAGAGTATTTGGGAACTACCCACTTTCCTTCGAATGTCACCTGTTGGCCGCACGGTTGTGCATAGCTTCATTGGAGCTCTTGAGACTTTTGGTCTGGCTCCGAAGGGAACTCAGAAGACGGCCGATTTACTAGCGATAGGAGCGGACTGTCTGGTTGCAGGAGCGAAGGAGAAACTATTCACACCGATGTATCTTATGGTTGGTCGTAAAGCAGCAATTTGATGAAAGGGGTGGCTGGAAGCGTGTAATTAATTGTTCGAATAAGACAACTTATTAAATCATCTACTATAGGCTTTGTAATCCTTCATGTAACTGTCTCAGTGAGTCTGAGAGTAGATAGAACATGGCTTTTCGGTGATGATTTGCTCGCTCCGTTGACCACCAACAAGCTAACAATCCCAATACCCACCACAACACATCACCAACAACAGCAAGCAAACCATCCTCCCCTAGTCTTCCAAACCCCTAAGAATTAACCCAATGACCCCCAAAATTCCCACCACCCCCGAGTGAAAAACCAATCGCACTTGCTAAACAATAAGACTTCTTCAAACGACACTATGGATGAAGAAAAGTCTCGAGAGATGCATTATACACCAAGAAATACCCAAATAGTCAAGTACCCAAGTAATTGTCAACAAAAATCCTTCACATTAAATTGCTACCTATATATTCAAAACTTTCCGATATAGCAATTGTAAAGTTATTATCTCCCTCCACCCCACCCAATCAGGTAGGAAGATAGCAAGATCTAAGAGCTCATCAGATTTTTCTGCCACAAACCATCCTTTTTTTTATGTTCATACACCTTTGAATTTCACGATTATCACCGTGAATTCGCCCCGGTTCCCTAGCACATCTATTCTCCTATTATCGCTGATTATAGGACCCGGTCTTAAGAATCTTGTCTGTTTCTTTTCACAAAATAACGCCCGCTCCCATATGCATACCCAGATGCCTTACCAAATGCAATCCATTGACCTGGTCTACGCCGTCTTCATATACAAAGCCTTGACCTTTAATACGCCTGTCCAAAACCGTTCCCATTGTCGAGAAACATCAGGGGGCTTTTCTCAAACTCATAAGCTGGCATCATCGGCTTTTAGCCCTACAAAAAAATCTCTAGTCATCTCAAAACTGAGCCAACTACTCGCCATACTTGGGGCTACTTTGAGTAGATTGGGTACAATTCCCTTATACATGCCCTTGATACCTTCTTGTGCGACAATTCTTCCGACAGCATCGAAAATTGATTTGTACTGGTATCCCATACCGGACATTGTATTGATCTGGAAACGACGTCGAAGAACATCACTACATAATGTTAGCTTTGAATTTTAAGAAACATTAATGGGCACCTTACAATGGATATGTGCATGTCTGTGCAACTGCGCCAGATATAGCACCAGCTGCTAACTTTCGTACCGCACTGGGATTTTGGTCTCCCTCTGGAGTAAAATGCTTTCGTACAAGCTCATAAGTCATGAAGTTCAAGCCAACCTTATTTCTTCGTTAGCAATGCAATTCAAACAACCAATAGCCACTTAATCCACACTCACATATGGTGCAACGCCAGCGACAGTAGGTATAATTCCTCTATATAATGCAAGAATGCCCCCTTCTGTTTTGTACATTGTCTTTAGCGTAGCAAACATGCCTGGCAGCTTAGCACCATGCTTTCCCAAAGCCGCAAATGATGCAGACTGAATAGACAATCTAGTGCGAACGATATCGAGGGGATAGGTAAAGAATACGGATGTAATTCCGGCTGCTCCACCGCAAATCAGACGTCTGAAAGAACCCAAGTCTGCGCCAGGAGTGGTTTCGAAGAACTAGAGAAGCATAGGAAATCAGCAATTGCTTTTCAAAAAATGCGCTCAATTGAATAAGAATTTCCGCAAGGTTCAGTTGGTACAGAAATAGTAAAAATTCGAAATATCCTTGGGCTCTTACCTTTTTATAGAAATTGTAACTTCCAAACTGAACAGCAGAATAGGGAACAATTCGAATACAGTTAGTGCCATTACCCCTCATCAGTCCGCGCCAACCTTCCTCTTTCCACATCTTCATAAGCCCCTTTCCTACAGACATCTTGTATTCTTCTCGCCCTACACTCTGTATTTGGAAAAGAATCTTTAGTCGTTCCAGAGGCGATACGACTGTTCTAGAAACCGCACCTGCCACTCCACCGGCGCAAAATGCTGCCACCACAGGCTGTGCGATCAGCTCTCTGAGTTGCAGAACTCTGGGGGTATATTTGGGCGGGAGAACATCATTCTTAGACTTATAGCCAAAACAAATTGTTAGCATGTATACCAGATAATGAGCAAGATTAAGAGGATAGAACATACGGCAGACATTTCCAGGAAAAGTAGCTAAGCTATGCACCTCAAAGGCCTAAGAGCTCAACGCACACCTTAAACCCACCACGCATGCGAATTCGAAGGACAAGGTTTCGAGAATAAAGGGCGACTCTGATATTTGGTAGGATATACGAGAACGTAGACTTTTGGACAGGAATAAGAAATCGACGATCAATTGCTGAATATATTGTACATGTACAATTGGGTAAAGATCCAGTCGGTGGTGAGGCTGGCTGGGTTTGGCTTTTTTAAACCGAGCTTGACTGGGAGAAGATCAAGGACGGGGGGGTACGAGATAGTGTCACCGGAGGATAGGAGTATCAATATCAATTTAATCTAGGGTTTGATGATAGGTGATATCTCAAGAGAAAAAGGAGAATTAGCAGGAAGAATATGAGTAGGTAGTCAACAAAGTTATTCAAAATAGCAAGGTGTTTTTTTTCTATAGAAGAGAAGAAGTCTAGGAGAACAATTTAAAGGTCTATGTTGTTGTATTGAGGAGGATTCGAGGAAGTGATATAGCTAGATAGTAATAAGTACTGCTTGTACCTACAGTAGCAGAACACTTTTATTAACTTGACCAGTAATCATAAGCGGAAAAAACTTTACTCTACCAAGGTCCAAGGCAAGGTGGAGGTCATTTTGTGAAGGGTTTGTTAACGGAAAGTTCCATCTCTTCTTTAGTCATCTCTTACGAAATGGATATGGTTGATTCTATTGTGTATAGTCAAATAGGTCAGTGTATATATATATGATTCAAGTAAGAGCAATTAGTACATTTATATAAATTCATTTTGAATTCAATTTGTTAAATATTCCTAATGAATTTTGAAATCCTCATAAGTGATGACTAGGTAGTTCTACAACTGCTAATCGGCAACAACGTTGGAAGATCTTCCAAATTATGATGCACGGAGATAGAATTACCCCATCATTGAGAGCTACAACATGATGTCAACTTGCCTGGTACTTCCGTAGTTTCCCGCAAGAACGATCGATACCCATATACGGAGTAGTATATACATAGGCATTCATCACCTCCTCGTACAGATTCGTGATTTGTTGGTAAATTCACGAGTACTGGTGAGTACCTCAGTAGACAAGCTGTTATGTCTACAATATTCTACTATGTATGGATTCAGTCGTCTGCCAAATAGATAGCAATACCCATATGCGAGTGTACTGAGACATCAATCCATCATTAATCTCGAACATTTCATCTCTTCCATATCACTCGACTCCTTTTCCTCACCCCTGACGAGGCCGAGTACCCACGACGTACTCCGCCTTTCCGTTCAAGAGTACCGATACTTCGGTACATTTCAATCCACCTCCAGTTTCCCGGGCGGTCACCATTGACAAAAAATTGATTGTGTTTTATTGATGCCTCAGGTCACAAGGCACCAAGAAGTGAAAATCCACGGAAAATTTTAAGCGAATTCACGCACTGGGCTCCATATTCTTAAAACTTCTTCGAAATTGTTTTCGTTCTTGCTGGATTATTCACGACTTCTCGACACCCCTCGACGACAAACCCCCCAAATCGCCAATCATGGGTAGGTGAACACAAATTCTATTCCAGCCATCGTGTGCAAGTGGAAATTGAGTGACTTTACGATGAATTGAGATTGAAAGTTGAAAGACTGAAATCACAAATCGCATCGTAAAGGATCTCAATTCTCTGCGCAACATTGTGTCTGTGCAAGACCGATGTGAAGAGCATACTTGATCATAGGCTGACGAGGAATTTTCTAACTAGGTATCGATCTTGACAACCACCACGTGCGCAACACTCACCGTAAGACGCCAAAGAGTGACAATGTTTACCTTAAGTTGTTGGTAAAGCTCTACCGCTTCTTGGCTCGTAAGTCGATCTCAAAAATTCTCGACCAAAGTAACACGCGCTAACTTTGGATTTCTCTCAGGCCGCACTGAAGCCTCCTTCAACAAGGTCGTTCTCCGCAGACTTTTTATGTCCCGTATCAACAGACCTCCCGTTTCCATCTCCAGAATCGCATCCCAAACCAACAAGGAGGAGAAGAGAACCGTTGTCATCATCGGAACCGTCACTGATGACAACCGTCTTTTGTCCGTCCCAAAGGTCACCGTTGCTGCTCTCCGCTTCACCGCTACCGCCCGTGCCCGCATTCTTGCTGCCGGTGGTGAGGCCTTGACTTTGGATCAATTGGCTCTCAGATCCCCAACTGGAAGCAACACCGTTCTCCTCAGAGGACCAAAGAACTCCAGAGAGGCTGTCAAGCATTTCGGTTTCGGACCCCACAAGCACAAGGTAACAAACACAACATGGCTTTTAATTGACAAGGCTGACAAATCTACAACAGAAACCATACGTCGAGTCCAAGGGACGCAAGTTCGAGAAGGCTCGTGGACGCAGAAGGTCCAGAGGTTTCAAGGTCTAAATGGCCTAATTTGGGAAGGGACGTTACGAACTTCTGGCTTTGCTGGTCTAGATACCTCCAAGAAGGGTGGAGGGATGTCAACAAGCTATTTAAGGCGAGCTGGATCCGCAGTACAGTCTTTAGCATATGAATACTACAAGAAAATGATGGTATCGATGCAATTAGGAGTAGTAATCATGAATAATTTGATTCCACCCTAGCTAAATTTTTCATTTGCACATGTGATAATCGATGTAATCACCAAATTATTTGTCCATACAAGTTGAACGTGCTATTATATAGTTTACATTCACTCGTTTCTACTTACACATCATTGACATAACCTAAACTTGCAGCGTCATTGTACCCATTCCGCCTAAGAGCTACAAAGTATGCTTCCTTGGATTCCTATTGATTGTGAGCATATGGGTTCTCTTCATTAGTTTCCAGGCTCACTCACGCTCCTCGATGATTCTGGCTTCTCTCTATGCACCACAGCAAACATTTTCTTCAGCTTCAACTCCAGCTCTTTATCTTCCGCGCCCTGATAAAATTTACACACAAAATGACCCCCAGGTCTCAGCGTATCGAAGGCAAATTGCAGAGCCGCGTTGCAGAGATCCTACATGTAGATAGGTAGGTTGTGGTTAGAAAAAATGGTGTGGTTGATTGAAATAACGAGAAAAAAGAGAGGAATGGAAAGGAAGGAATGCGAGCTATAGAAAGGCAAATAACATACCATACTCCCCGCATGATCAGAAAACTTGATACCGGTCGTGTTCATCATCCTATTATACGGGTCACTCAGACTTCTCTTCCAAAAACCGGTGGTTTGCTCCCAGGGGGCGCACATGTCACTTAGTACTACGTGAACCATTTTTGTGGTGTCTTTTGCGGGTTCCTGAGACGGTTCTGGTGCTGCGCTGGTGGAAGAGATTTCCCCAGCATCATTATCGTCCATGTGTCGTTCTAGATCTATGTAACTTGGTTCTGAGGCGGCGATATCGAGATGGTCGGTGTGTTCGTCATTTTCGACGTCGTCGGAAGAGGAGAACAGAGGTCTGCGCGGACGACCGCGGTCGGGATCGAGAAGGAAATTCTTGACGGATTGTTGGACACGTCGTGAGAGAAAGTTTCCTTGGATGGTGGAGACGCCTTGAGGAGGCTGCGCGGGGATGATGTCGATGCCGAGGATGCGGCCGTGGGGTTGGGTGCGCGAGTATGCTACCTGGTGGAGGGGAGGGTGAGTGGGATGCATGGATAGGTGGGTAGGTAGATAGGTAGACATATAGGTAGATTTGTAGATGTGTAGATAGGTAGAGAAAGAGGCCGGGGGAATATGAAGACGTACCTGAGACCAACTTCCCGGCGCATATCCCTAGATGCATTCTCTCAACAAACTATTCTGACCTCACCTCCCAATCCCATGCACATCATCCCAAGCCATAACCACAACCACAACCATAAACACAAAGAAAGAACTTACCAAATCCACCACCGTCTGTCCTCTTTTGAAAATCTTATACTTCGTATCAATCTGCAATCAAGCATCTCATTAACAACCATATAAACACACCTCCCCTCAGATCCCCTCCCGTCCCCTCCCCTCCCGTCCCCTCCCCTCCCTCTCACCACCCTAACCTCCAAACCCCCAACCCCCCCCCCCCCCCCCCCTCCCAAAAATCCACATACACACACACATACACACATACATACATACATACCTCCAACAATTTAAACGCCGCTCTACTCTTCAACCCCTTAACCTTCGCCTCCCGTGCCCACGAATCCTTTCCCTGACGACTTTTCCATCTCGTCGACGAAGACGAAGATGAGGCGTTGCGTACATGTACGTCTCTCCCTAGCACATTACCGATGCCATTACCATTCCGACAACTCGAAAATCTACCCCGCGCGATCGCCGACCCCGCTTTATGATTCAGCAGCGTGGGAATACATGAGTGAGATCGAGGGAGGAATCCAAATCCAGACGTTAAGAATGTGGGGTTCAGTCGAGGTGGTAGCATAGCATAGGGTTATGTGGTGCAGAGTTTGTGGCTGGTTTGGTGAGTGTGAAGTTTGGATAATTTCGGGTGTGTATGGTATGATGAGATTGAGATTGAAGAATTTTATTTATCGCATGAGCTCAAACTTTGTCAATTCAAAATACTTATTTGTGGCCTTATACAAAACTTTTCCCATTAGTGTTTATGAGAGCGCAAAGAGTTTTTTGTTCCTGGGTAGATTAAAGCAAACGGTATTACTTGGTTATACAATCAAAACTCAGATATTGTCACATTTACAAGTAGAAGATGATTTTATTTCTTGAACAAAAACAATGCAGTTTTCCATTACCTACATATAGAAAACACCAACGCCTCGTGAGCCTGTATTCTCCCTATCCTAAACGCCCGAGTATTTTATTATTTCCAACAGCTTATGCTAAGAAACTTGCTCCGGCACCCCTACGATCCTTTTTCAAAGGCGAGAATGCTCCAAATCCACCACCAGCCGCAAGACCACCCTTCAATCCTCCCCTTGGTCCAGCAAGACCGCCTTTACCAAGCCCCCTCGCTGGTCCAAGTGCAATCTTTGCTGGTTTCTTAGGAGCCTCAACATCCTCGTCATCGAATAGTGTCTTACTGACACCCCCGAGAACTTTACGTTTCTTCTTCTTTAGTTCAGGCTCTTCAATAGACTTGATCTTAGCTTTCACAGGTTGTTTAGTCCCTCCTTCTGAATTTTCTGGTTCTTCGGGCTGCTCATTTTCGTCCACGTCCTCTTCTTCCGCAACATTTTCTAGCATAGGTCGTGCTTTGATTTTTCGGGCTGTAGGTTTCTTAGGCTGTTCATCTTCGCCCCTGTCCTCTTCCTCTGCAACCTTTCCAAGCGTACGAGATTCCTTGAGTTTCTGGGTTACAGATTTCTTATTCTTGGTACCAGCCTTTGCCTCGACCAACACATTTTTCTCGTCACCAGAATTATCGGCCAGCTTCTTTCTTGCCTTAAGCCTGGGCTTGACTTGCTGTGCAGGTAATTCAGGTGTTTCCTCTTCTTCTTCGATAATATGGTCCTCCTCGGTGGATTTCTCTCGCTCCGCTACTTTTTCAGCCTTATCCTCAGGTGATTGTCCATCTTCTGGTGTATCTGGAGCCATGTTGATTGTCTTGTTCAGATAGGGTGTAATGGAAAATGTTGACTTTTCTCCCAAAATTGTTTGATCAACTCTACCTCTATTCGCTCCAGCTCGCTTTCCGCGCCCCGCAATTCCATCTGGTGTCCCGATAGTAATATCCATGCTCATCTCCCTGGCGGATCTCTTGCGAGAATCTTTCACTGGAACACTCTCTCGACTCGTGATAGCGGGGAGTTTCAATGCTGCGTTGCGTGCCTCATTCAATTCGGCCTGACATTCTTTCAACTGTTCTCTTGCGGCTCGCATTTTTGTGCGGAGCTGCTCAACCTTGCTCTCCAAGGATCCAATTAAAACCTGAGAAGCAGCCAACTCCTTCTGTGTTTCCTTGTGAGCTTTTTCGATGTCTCGTTTCGTATGGGCGAATTCTTTTCTGAGAATCTCGATTTCCTTCTCCCCACCTTCCTGTCCTTTCTCATTATCGCGAAGCTGTTCGATTTCTCCTTCCAAATTTTCCACCTGAGCTTGAGAAGCGGCCAACTCCTTTTGGGTATGTTTGTGTGCTTTTTCGATATCTCGTTTCGTAGACGCAAACTCCTTTCGAAGAACTTCAATTTCCTTATCCCCAGATTTCTGTCCCTTGTCGTTGCTGTTCTTCAATAGCTCTATTTCATTTCGAAGAGCCTCTATCTCCTTCTCCCCAGCCTTTTGTGCATTCTCACTGTTACGCTTCAGAAGCTCTAATTCCTTTCGGAGAGCCTCCGTTTCCTTTTCTGAAAGCTTGTGGCTCTTCTCGATTTCACGTTTCTCTTGTGCGAATTCTTTTTGGGCAGTAGATGCTTCTTTTGTCATTTCTTTCTTGGCCTTTTCCCTCTCTCGCTTCTCTTCGGAAAGGTCTTTCTGCAAAGCCTCGATTTTCTGTTGGAGGTCCGTTTCCCTTGAATGGTCATTGTTCTTCTCGGTGGCACGGTTCAAGGCTCGACGCTCTGTCTCTAATTCCGCCTCTAAAGTGCTAACTTGCCGCTGAAGTGCCAACTTCTCTGCTAGGATCGATTGTTGATGTGCCACTTGAGAACGTAAATGCTCCAACTCTGGTTTGAGTATAGATAACTCGCGGCTGAGTGCCAGTTTTTCGGTAAGAACCTTTGTCGAGTCCATCGTTAATCCACTCATAGATTCCAGCTCCGTCTATACAGCCATGAATTAGTATCACAATCAAATTTACCCGAGGGATTCTTAGTACCTTGGTGTTATTGAGTTCTCGTGTTTGAAGTCTTAAATCTGTTTCCACCTTCTTAACATCTTCTTGAGCCTGGTCAAGTTGTGCTCTTAAATCTTCGTTCTCTTCTTCTAATCCATCAATTCGATCATCCCCGGTTGCCAGTTGAAGTTGTAATTCATCCGCCTCATTCTCCAATAAGAGGATCTGTAATCTCAATCGCCTACTTGCTTCATCTTTTACGATTAATTCGGTATTTTGAAGTGCTTCCTGATATGCCAACTCGAGACATTGTGATTTCATCAATCGCTATAAATTTGTATTAGCCCCCAAAAACTCCCATCTCACTTAAACAATAATGAAAGATCATACGTACACTTTCGATGTGTTCATCATCATTGTATGATAATACTTGATCCATTTTAAATTTATGCTTATGAAAATAAAATGTGTTTTAAAATACCTGTTAAATGGTCGAAACATTCAATCGCGTTCGAAAGTCAACAAAGTCTCCCTAAGCGTTGGATGAGTTGCTGGGTCGACGTGATGTGCCCCAGATACACGGCCTCAGGCAAAAATACATTTATTACCACACCCTACTTGTGATACGATTTGTATGGCCCCGCGAGGTGGAACTTACCGAATTGAATTAAGGACACGCTTCGAGCTTCGTAAGTGTTTGGTGATGATATCTTGAATCCTCAATGCTTCAGTTTATTTGATAAAGCATCACTGGTCACAATCATTCGATTATTCTCTGCTATCGATATCACCAATTCCAATCTTTAGAGGCATCTTGGCCTTGCATTTCATTTAAGATGCATTTCCTCAAGACATTGGTAGCCTCCTTGCTACCTTTAGCTGTTCTAGCTGCCAAAAAGCCCGCGGTCGATAACTTTGAACGATACCATACCAAATCTCTCTCATCTACCCCATTGAAGCTCGATGATAGTGTCTACAGCAAATTGACCACTGCACCAAGAGATTACTCTGTCGCCGTGTTGTTGACAGCTTTAGAAAATAGATTTGGTTGCCAATTATGTCGTGAATTTCAGCCAGAATGGGATCTCTTGTCAAAGAGTTGGATCAAAGGAGATAAAAAAGGAGAAGCTCGCCTGCTCTATGGAACACTTGATTTCATGGATGGCAAAGGCACTTTTCAATCTGTATGTTTAGCGCTACGAAACTACAATCAATCGATACTAATTGCTGCATAGCTTAATCTACAAACTGCTCCCGTCCTTCTACTGTTTTTACCTACCATTGGCCCTCATGCCTCTACAATCAATGGCCCCCTGAGATACGACTTTACAAACGGCCCTCAAACTGCTGAACAAGTTCACTCTTGGATTACTAGACATCTCACCGATCGACCACATCCTCCAGTTCAACGACCCATCAACTGGCTTCGTATTGGCGCAGTTACCACTACTATTCTAGGAACGATCACTTTTATCAGTGTTGCATGGCCATATGTTTTACCAGTCGTTCAAAACCGAAATGTTTGGGCTGCAATCAGCTTGATTGCCATTCTTCTATTCACTAGTGGTCATATGTTTAACCACATTCGAAAAGTTCCATACGTTGCTGGTGACGGACGTGGAGGTGTCAGCTACTTTGCAGGTGGATTCTCAAATCAATATGGATTGGAAACACAAATCATTGCTGCTATGTGTAAGAAATTCTCTGTCATACCTATTCATATTTAATTGCGACAATACTGATTATATCTCACAGATGGGCTTTTGTCCTTTGCAACAATCTCTTTGGCTCTCAAAGTCCCACGTATCTCAGACCCCAAAATTCAGCAAGTCGCAGTCCTCGTATGGGGTGGAGTTATCTTCGTTATGTACAGCTTCTTGCTTAGCGTTTTCCGTATCAAGAACGGCGGATACCCATTCTGGCTTCCACCTTTCAGCTGAACGGGATAATCTACGAGTCTGTTAAGTGACCAAAGAGATATCCATGTATCATATACTGCCCTCCATTCACGTGGTCGGTTTCATATACTTACTGAAAAGCGAATTTTACGTTTCCTTGGCCCCAATGCTTGGCCTCAGAAAAATATTTTAAGAATTAAATATTTCATTTTTGATAGAGCTTTCACCGTATGATAGTCAATACATGACCCAAGTGTTTCTCTCCAACTACGAAACGTTCAACTATAACCATCCATCAAATTTGTTAGAAAAATCGTTAGATTATGCTTGTAATTGCTTGAATTGAATGACTTGACAACGATCCCACAAACTTTGCTACTTCATAGAGGATTCGAATGTTTCGTTTTATCTTGGAGATTCCTCTTTTCAATCATCGGGGAATCAATAGCTTCAAATATGCATAAAGCTGTCTGTGGACCATTTCCTGGAGCTAGATGTTGCACGCAGCTCTGCAACTAGTAAACTCTCTTTGCATTCGGAAGTGGCAGCGAGGAAGTTTAAGTCGCATAGTAAAGTCAAGGTCAGCAAAATGAATGAACCGAAATTCAATAAATCAACCAGAATGTAAGATGTTAAACCATGAAAGATTTGAAAACATGTTTCGTCTAGATCTATTGAATTACATGGAGATAATATACATATAAGAATTGCGGCCAATTTATAGTGATGAGAAGAGCCAAGTAATGTTCCAGAAGGGAAATACTGGTAACGAGGGCTATGAACCGAGCTCTCATCAAAAGTCCCGAGTCCTAACGCTAGCGCTCACACTGGATGTGCATATATGATCTTTGGTTCTATCTGGGAGGAACCCCTTATCAAAAGGGGGTGTTTTTCTTGTAAGATGCCTTCTACTTCTTCTGGACCAGATAATGGATTGACCGGCCACCAGTAAGAAACGTACAATGCGAAGAGACCTTCATTATCCAGTACGAGCTGGTGTATACTGACCCCATGAGATTATGGTAGTGCAATAGCATTGTCACTATACCCAGGGTCATTTTATGTTCATTCTGGTCTTAGCCATCTTCAAGCGAATGCCGCGGCGACCAAGGAAGTAGCTCTCATACTTTGAATTGGTTTCCATGCCCAAGACCACCAGTACTCCAAGGCATGTTTTCAATTGCAGTCTGAAAGTACTCCTGTTTCTGCATTGCATCGCTGGTAGTCGCAAATCTCAGAAGTAGTTTCGCCGAGTGACTTACTAAAAGAATGCTTTATTTAAGTGGGAATATAATAACGAGCTTGTATCGGCAACTGGAGCTATGCCCGCGGTTCTTTGTGCTATGACCACCAAGTATCAATAGGTATTATGTGGTTTCTTGACGAGGACTAGACTGTACCCGGCCAAATCTAGTGGCAGTCCATCTGTGAGCAAAGTGTCTATTGTGGTACTACTTGAGGCGAGAGTAGATGACAATGCGTGGCTATGCACTGGAGAACCTGAAGATGGTAGTTCTGAGCCAGAATGCTGAAGTATTGTTGGTCTTAATTGCACTTTGTTGCTAGCCGTAATGGAAGTATGGGTCTTGTCTAGAGGTGTTATCTTATGACACCCGCATAGTGAACATGTTGAGTGTTGAAGTTCATTCTTCCTAGGCAATTGAGGGGGAAGTATGATGCCGTTTTGAGCCGCAGGGATATTGTCCAATTGCCACGACGGTGACTGAAGATCTGGTTCTGGCGGCGTTGATGAAGCTGTAACGCGATAGATCGGTGCATTTGCCGTATTAGTCGAATAGATTTTGTTGAGGTCAGCAAGCTCCCAGTCATGAGGAGTAGTGTATCTCGAGATACAGTGTTTGATCTCTGGGAGCGGTTGCTGTTGTGATACCAGATCAACGAGAGGATCGATTGCCCGAGATCCTGAATTGTTTGTATAAGGTATACAATTATCTGTTTCTAGTAATGAACTAGCATGGGGAAATGAAGTGTGGAAATCTTCATAGCTAGCATCGAATATCTCTTGTGGGATGCTATCAACTTGAATAGTATCATCCCAGCAGGTTTCTAGTGAGGGCGACCGGTATGATGATGGACTTGAAATGTCGTAATTATATTGTGAAGGAGTAGAGTTGTTTGATAGAGGGTCCAACCCGGGTGGTGATAATCTTTCCAGCGGGGTTTGTTGTTTCCAAAAATTTTCGTGTTGGATAGCATTGAAATCAGCGCGTGATTTTTGTCCTTCCAATTATCAGCTTTGCTCAAGTCTTCATTGTGTGCGGTTGAAAAATTCGACCTGCAGTTTCGAGGGCCCTCACTATGCTTGCGTTGTGATAAACGATTCTGAACTCTTTTCCTCATCCTTGGTTCGGTAATTTGGGTCCAGTCTTCCTCATTTTCAGAACTTGGAGTTGGACCCAAGTTCGGAACTGGCCACATTTCATTGTGCTGGATCGGGGTGAACATGTCTATAGGGTTAAGCTTTCACAAGGAACAATAATATGCAGGTTATATGGTGTGTGGAAGCTATTATAATATGGGGAAAAGTTAAGCTTTGTATCGTAAATCGAGATTGTGAGAGTGCGAGGAATCGTATAGTATTAACTTTTATTGGAGGCCCCTAACTGTAAAGTGGCTGCCCGATTCGAAGGAATGAATGCAGGGTATCAGTTCCTTCGGGATAATGTTCCCATTTGTGAGGCGAATATGTCGGAGGCATAGTTTAAGAGCGGGCGAGAACCCCTTCTTCTTTTCTTCCATATCATCTTCCCTCGTATGTTGTTGCAACAGACAAACTCGAATCATTTTACCCCTCCACATCCCGTGTAACTAATGTGTGCTGAAATGACGTGGGAATGCGGAATTGCTGCGTGAGAAAGCCGGGGACTGAAAGCTTCGGTAGCAGTCAGCACCTATAGAAGTGTAGTAGCTGACGAGTCTAGCGTTACGCCTGTAAGACATGCAGAAGTGCTTAGCGACAATTCAAACGCGCCTTTTTTTAGAGGCTCTGCGATGGATACAATATACCTCAAATATTCATGGATTTCGAATTATTTCTGAAGCTTTGTAAAAACTTCGTTTCCGAATATCTTATATCTATTCCAACCTCTCTCCGTGTCCTACATCTACTTCACAAATACTCTTACACGTGGGCAAGTACCAATGTTCCCCCCTGGTCAACACCCCTGCCATACTTGCTTACGGTTCCATCGACCCGGCCGATATCGTACTCACCCTTTCTTACACGAGTTTCCTTGAAGAAAGTAGGCTGATAAGCTGGTGTATTAGCGTGCTATAGAGACCGACTTTATGCAAGTGATACAGAATACAGATAGCTACCTTATTTACTGTCCACCCCCACTTCTTCCTATGCGGGGAAGCTTGAAGATTCCGGATATATATCAAGAATCAGTTTCACAATAACAACATGTGTTGCCTGAATAGTATTGAGAGTTTATCTCAAGTCAAGTATGCTACCCCTGCATTGGCACAACCGCCGGGTTTATGACCTACCAAATGCGTTGAACAGAGCAGAGGTACTTGACACGAACTATAATAGAAACTGTACTTTAGGAATTGCACTATGAAAGTATGACAATATTGCGAGTAAACCCTCAATCATTTAAATCAATGTAACCTTGAAAAGATATGATACGAGATGTATCTCTCTTTCGCTTCCCCTTGACCGATCAATGTCTTATGGATATCCCAGCCCTTCCACCATTAACGCCCTGGTCACTTTCCAGTTATATCTGTCTCTCCAATCGATTGATTGATGCTGGTATTAATTGAAGGAAACAAATACCCAATAAGGTGGCATGGATGATGGTTGGTTGTGCGCCGGGATTTACATAGGCACCAGAGAGGACTTTTGTCATTGGTTCGCTCGCTCGCAGCGAGTATGAAAAAGACGCGTATTGTTATCTCAGGGTATTATGTACAGTATCGAGCCTTTACATTGCTGATCCTTTACTTATTAGAGACGGTCGCTCTGAATCATCAATTGATGTTGTCTTAATCAGGAGTTAAATCTATTTACAATTATAGAAACACATAGCAAGCACAACGGAAGCACGAGTTAGGTACGAGGATTTGGATTGGATGGTTCTACGAGGATTGTAGGAACAGTTGCTATGTGCGAAGATATCTACGTGGCACCACTGTTATGGCGCTATCATTTCGAACGCCTTGCATTCAACATAACATTGCCTAATCATATCTGAACAAGAAAAAGTCACTTCGTAATTTTTTAACATGTCAGGAGAATCTTCAATGATTGTGGCTGAATTGGGGATGGGAATTTTCCAATGTTCATATTCGCTAAATCGCCGATTTAGGCAAGAGTTTAAGAACATATGAGTGTGAATACATAAGTAGAAGAGGTTGATTTGACTTGATCAGTTGCTCCAAAATTCTGAAGTTATAAGTCTATATGAAGATGTGTAAACAACCCTAATCATCCTCTAGCACACGAATATACTGACCGGCCAGCAGTGGATCTATGAATTATATTATGACCTGCGGATCTACGACAGGCAAGATGCAATTTTAAGCTCTCCTAGCCAAATAGATGCTTTTAATCTTTCTGGGAGGAGGAGAGCACCCAATTTTTTGCAAACATCTCCTAACCATGTTCTCAATTCTCCACTGGTTTGTATTTCATGGCAGCGAGAAGGGGAGGCATGAGACATACTGCTCCAGCAGCCATGACTACCCCAGCAAAGACAATAGCCTTGACAAAATAGTCTGTATTGAGATCCACCAAAGCTCCAGCAATAGGTGGCCCGATGAGAATTCCAATTGCCGCTGTGATCCAACTCATACCCAATCGAGTTCCTATGACACTCATTGAGGGCGATAGTGTTGGGTGTGCCACCGCTGCAGCGGGTGCTGTCACGAGGACGCCTGATATGAATCCCCAGATAATGCAAAACACTATAAAGCCCGCTTCATTGTGTATGCCCAACCAAGAGAACATTACGATGACAGCGGCAACGGTCCAAAAAACAAATATTTGAATGGAACCGACGCGGTTGGCAATCAGGAATGGAACTGTTCGACCAAAGAATGAACCGGCGTTGGTAATAGCTAAGAGGTAAAAGGAGAGATTTTCGTCAATCTTGAGGCTGTAAATGGCGTAGGAAGGGATATAGAAGAGGGGAATGTAGAATGCTACAAATATGAGAAGAAGAGAAACGGCGAAGCCTAGGAATGGAAGTTCAGTGAACGCTTTAAAATCGAAAAGAGCTTTTTTAGTCGCAGACTTTGGCCTTTTGTGCCGGCTTAGTATGGCGAGGGAGACAGCGAGTGTGCCGAGACTGATGAAGCCGATGGCGCGGACAGCCCAACCAAATCCAACCTTTGGTTCTAGTCTCCGAAACATAATCGGAAAGATTATTCCACCTAGGAAATTTCACTTAGTATTAGTCGTGCTACTGCCCAGTGAATGTTAACTTACCTATGCTTGATCCTGAGGAGGCACATCCGATCGCAAATGGTCGTTTAGTGGTGAATTGAGTTGAGATAATGGCGAGTGCAGGAATATAGACTAGGCCGGCTCCCAGACCAATGACAATTCCCTGGGAGAGGATTATTTGATAATACTTGGTCGAGAGACTAAGCATCATCGTCCCAAACACAATCAAGAAGCACCCAGTGGCCATCAAGATACGAATATAACCTCGATCAAACAGTGGCCCGGATACAATGCCAACAAACACTACCAGAAATGATTGTATACTGCCAATCCATGATATCGATGATGCAGACTCAGGCAAAGTGGTGATATAATAAGACTGAAAAGCTCCAAAGCTTGCAGTAATTCCCCTTTATTTGACGAGTCAATATAAATATATATCGTAGTGGATTCAAGACTAAAAATCACATATACATACCAAGTATTCGTGAATATAAAAAATGCACCAAGCACACACAGCCAAGCACTTAGTCCGCCATTTGGCGGCGTGGGTGGAGACTGTGGAGTGGATTCGTGAAGTGGGACCTTCGCATCCGGGGAAGAGTCTGGGGAAACTGCATCTGTTCGTTTATTCTTCTCCTCGTCGCTGCTAGTAGCCATCGTTGGTGACCTTGTGGCTATTGATAAATCTTCCACGACGTGGGAGCTGGGCTGTATTGACGAGATTATATTCTGCCAGCTTTGCTTTCACTTCAGAGTAAAATCTAGGTAGATGACGCACTGTAGCAAAAGTAAAACTGATTCATTATTTACATCGTGTCAAGACGGTGGGTTGTCTGAATAGGGGTACGCATTGAGATCCTAAATCCTAAGTCCATTAAATCCGAGATGTGGAAGAGAGGGATCGAACAAATCAATCAATATTCGTACAGTATTACATCATTATTATTAGATATTATGCAGGACAAGTTCCAATGTTTCAACCTCCTCTTGAAAGTACCGCTATGAATCTAAGTATTTACTTGAAAGCGATTTGCAGGTTATTAGACTCAATGTTACTCTATGGATTTAATGCTAAGTCCGATATTAAATGGCCAATGTTACAGTGACTGCATGCATATGATGCATGGAACAGCCAGCAGCGGCCAGCTACTGCGGTCAGAGTACCCTTGTTTGATTAATTTGCGGCTGCATTCAGCCTGTAGCTCATAACTTACAGGGCTCCAATAGGGCCCAGCCAGCAACTCTTTTACTTATAAGATTATTAAGAATGTTGAGAAATTGAATTGGAGACAGCAAAATGGATCTATCATACGCCCAAGTCACGAGATCTGTTTTCATGTTTCCAACTCTCGTATTCTGTTGGGTAAAATTACCCTTCTCATAAGCTTCATACAGCCATGTTGAGTCTAAATGAAATGGTGGAAATAGCGCTAAAATAATAACAGGTCTTGTATTGTGCTGTCAGCCGCTTGTTCTTCCATCCACTTAATGGCTACCCCGGACCATTACTCTCACGGTTGTCTAGCTTACCGGTCCTCTACCATGCTTGGAAAGGGGATCTTCATTATCACCTTTTTCGGTTACATCTCAAACATGGTATTGTACCTTCGAACGATAACGATGTTCTTTCTAGTGCTAACTATTTTACAGGCAAATGCGTACGCTACGCGCCAAATAAATTGTCCATCAACGATTCTGACGCTGTGAACGGTATGTCCGCCATGCACAATAACAAGAGAATATAGTGCTGAAACATACTACTAGAAATATATGGCTTCAACAAGAATACGGCGAAGCCAGAAGAGGCATATGCAGCATTCCGTGTGAACAAACATGCTATCAACACCTTCAACACAAGTTCCAAAGAGGCCCATAGACGAAAGCGCCGTATTATGGCAAAAGGTTTCTCGGACGTGGCACTTGCGACCTACGAGGAATCCATTTCTCAGCCTGTGGATGAATTGATCTCAAAATTAATGAGGGAAATACAAAATCAAACACCGCCCAGACAGTAACATCGGATCAGAAATGTGTCTTCAATTGGGCTTATGAAGCAAATTGTCTAATGCTGGATATAATGGGACATCTCTGTTTCGGTGCTGCATTTGGCTTGTGAGTCAACTCGTGGGATTTCGTCCCCCCCCCCCCCCCCCAGTACTCTGTAACAATGCTCGTACTTCTGATTAGGACATCTCGTGTCCTCCAAATCATCATATTTTGCAACAAATGTATACTGACATTTGATCTCAAGTATTGGTGGAAAAGGGGAAAAACTTGTTAAGAGTTTCCACCAACGTGCCTTTCGTGTCTACATGGTAAGAACGGTCCCTGATTTCCTTCGGGAAGCAGAATTTAATCATTTCAAAAAATCAAGACATCACAGGTGCCACTTTTCAAAAAGCTATACATAGACCGGGTTCTTTTCCCACAAATGGCCAAGGCAAACACCGCGCTTGCGGACTATGCGCGTTCATACACTGTACAACGTGCCCATCAACACCGCGAGGAGACTAACAGGATCGATGAAACGGAGACATACTCCCATGTAAAGTCAGGCAACAATAATACCAGCTCTGATATCATGCATCACTTGCTCAATGCTCACGATGAAGAGACAACCTCGGTATACAGCGACAACGAGCTCCTCGGTGAAGCGATTCTCCTCATGATGGCTGGTTTGTTCTTACCTCTACTTTATCCCCTTCTGCGTTATTTAGCTTTTCAAGAAAAGAGTATTCGCACCTAGCTAACGTGATACCTTCTATCTAAACTTAGGCTCCGACACCACATCTACCGCCTTGACAGCCACACTTTTTTACCTCTTCCACAACCCCCACGCTCTGCAAAGTCTCCGCTCCGAGCTTGCTCACATCTTCTCATCCAGCATCCCTACTCGCGTCCTCGCTGTTGAGAATTGCAAATACCTGCGTGCATGTATTGACGAGGCGATGCGCTTGTGTCCACCTGCTCCGACGGCCCTTCCGCGTGTTGTTTGCGAGGGCGGCATCGAGGTATTGGGAATACATTTCCCAGAGGGTGTATGCTTGGGGGTACCAAATTTTGCACTATTTCGCAACGAGCTTTACTTCAAGGAGCCGCATAGGTTCATGCCCGAAAGATGGTTGAATAATGACGAGGACAGTCTGAGCCTAGCTCGAATGGCTTTCAAACCGTTTTCGGTAGGTCCAAGACATTGCATTGGACAACGGTTAGCGATTCAGGAGATGGCGTATGTTATTGCAAAGATAGTTTATCATTTTGATTTTGAGGTTGTGGGAACTGATAGTGAATATAGAGGATTAGGAGTGGATGAAAATGTGGTCATGGAGCAATTCGATGTTTTTACGAGTCTGGAGCGTGGACCCGAGATAAACTTCTGGGCCAGGTGAAAAATAGTATCTTTGCAGCCTTGAAATTCAGTCGGTCTGTTCAACCTTACACAGTCAATGTGACGACTTGTTGAATGGCTCGTATCACCTTTTCAAATTCGCAACATGATGGTTCGCCCATCGCGCACGTGAGACTGTCGACGTTCGTAGCATCAGCTTTATATATAAGCTTGCTTTATAAGTCGACAAATAATAAGTTGAACACAACCTGAGAATCATATTTATGGTGGATTTTTAATTTGCACCTCATTATTGACATATTACGGGGCTGGCAAGCCGTTTGTTTGCGTGTCACGTGGTGTGCACCACGTAAGATTGAATTAAGCCCTGTAACCACCACCACCACCCTCTGCCACGATATATCCTTACATCCTCACGATAACTCTATCTACGTGGCTCTTCGACACGTTTTCGTGAAGACATTGGTAACGTCTTATACAGACCAGCACACATGACCCTTTCTGTACGCGCAATCGCCGGCGATATCAATTGGGATAGAACCACCTGCGCATTTAAACACGCCTGAGTCCTGACTGGAAGGTCGCAACTGAAGTTCATTGATGGCTACATTTATTGTTCATTGTTATCTTTGATAACAAGATTTCTTTTTCCATTCACGATCATGCTCATCATGCCAATCTAGACTCCCGCGAAATCAAACCCCAACTTAAACCCAGGAACTAATTTCTGGAAAACGCCATTCGGATCATATTTTTTGCTAATGGCTCGCAACTTGGACAGCGAGGCACCATAACCATATGATGAAATGGGATTTTCGCCAATTCCCGCGTCGTTGAGCCACTTGAATGGATAGTACAGTCCTTTAGCTTTCGTTTGCTCTTCTATCTCTGCGATCGTAGATGTTAGGAATGCCTTCACTATTTGGTCATCATTCGGATTGCTCCAGTCTACGTAAATTTCAGCAACTATCAAGTGTTAGTCATCCCATTCCGCTCATAATTTGAAACTTTTTATCGTCTTCTGAGTCCCCTGGAATCGATGGCGACTTACCCAAGAAATTACCCTTGGATGGATCGAGTGATATAGCATCACCTCCGCTAGCGACCGCTGCGTGCTGCATGGCTACTGTCATTGGCTCTAATGCAAATCCAACTGTGCAATTGATCTGGGAAAGTTGCACTTTCGCATTACCAACGACTATGTTGTAAACGAGCTCCGACGTTTCATTGCTGAATAGGATGGATGTATCGTACCAGCTCCATCTGTGCATCATGGATTAATTTCTTTCAAGTACAATTTTGATGGTCGATAGCCTTACCGATTGACCAAAGAGGCGAAGAATTCAGTCTGGTTCACAATAGCACTGAAATTCATGATGCCAACTTCGCTAGAAACCGTTGGTATAGCTGTGAAATTCTCGAAAGCTTTGGGACTTGGATCATTCCCATTGTAAAAGTAAACAGTTCCAGAGCTCTCGGCACCGGTCATTGGGTTGTAGCTGAAATCGGGCATCAAATTTCCATTTGCGTCATCGATACCCCCACCTGGGGCTATGTAAGCAGTGTAGGCATCTAGGTATTGCTGAGTAGCTTTTGCTCCCCATTGAACGCTACCACCACTGCAGTAAAGAAAGTATTAGTCTCTTATCTGGAATAGATATTATGTCAAAAGACATCAGAGCATCTTACTGCGGTCGTTGGCTTATGAGAAATATAGTAAAATCGCAACTTACAATACGAGTCCGCTCTCATATGTCTTGAGGTCATAACGAGTAACGACCCCAAAATTATTGGAACCACCTTTGAGCGCCCAAAAAAGATCTGGGTAAGTAGCATCATTAACTTGTAGAATAGTTCCATTTGCTGTCACCAATTCAAAGTTAATAACATTGTTAGCAGCCCATCCGTAAAGAGAAGCATGGTAGCTAAGGCCGCCTCCTAAAACTAAGGAGCTGCCAACTGGAGCGACACGGCCACCCACAGCGATCAAGCCGTATGGTTCTAAAAATTCGTAGATGTCCGACCAGCGAAAGGCAGCCCCGGCTCTTAGATATGATACACCATAGTCATTCGGTAGTGGGACAAGTGTCTTTTCCGTGAAACTTGTTGTCGCGATCATAACCCCATAATCAGTTGATGCGATGCCGGCCACTGCCGCATGGCCACCACTCCGAATGGCAAATGAAGTATTGGTCCGGGCAAGAATCTTAACACCAGTGGCAAGATCACCCGAAGTTAAGGGTGAGAAGACGCAATAGGGACTGAGCCATGCTATCTTTGAGAAAAAGGCTATATTCAGGTTTTTGTCAGCACTTATCTTATCTAAAAGTGAACTGGGTATTCATTGTCAATTCTTGGAGCCATGATGTTGGGGGAGCATTTTTTTCGTTCGACATACACTGTGTTTCTATAGTGTAATTCACTGTTCCCGGATCATACACTTGACCTGGCAAAGCAGCTGCCAGTTGCACACATGAATTTGTAGAGGTATTTGATTTGGTAGGTGTCAAGGTACCGCAAGCTGTTACAATCAGGCTTCCCCATAGGATAAATTCGAATAACATGACTTCAAACAATGGTAAGGTTTCATTCAGTATGCATACTACATGTTAGAAAGGGAAGATATCTACTTGAATGAAAGCAACCCCCCGGTAAGCAAGGCTTTCTCACATCATAGCTCGGTGTTGCGAAAGTTGGCTAACAATCAATGGGCACCTAGGTATGGTTACATCTATCCTCAATATTTACCGAGAATTGTCGAGATATTAGCTGGAGATCAGTCAGGGCGTTCGCTTATGCAGTCAGGCTGTCATGTCAGACCACCCCGGATGTAAGCTTGATGCGGTCAGGCGGCATGAAATGATCATGGTATAATGACGTATCCCGAATGGACTCGGATCGAATACTTGCCCGCCTGTAACGGTCCGAAGCAACGGAATTGGTTGATCTGACAGCCTGATAAAGCTTCGCCTTTCGATTCTATCATAAATGTCATCTTTTAGTCTAGAAAGATTTTATTGAACCTTCCGTCTATCACGCAAATAGCCATCTTATTCAAAATTCTTGACAGGTATCAAGAGCACAAAATCATATCTTTGTCATCTTAGCTGAAAACACAAACCACTTTCAGGCTGTTCCATGATTAGGATGACGCTTTTGGCTGCAATCCTTCAGATACGCGGAATGCCATGGCACGCAATCACAAAAAGTTGACATTAAGACTCATGTTAGAGCATTACTTCAAATTATCGTAGTGGCTGACATTAGTTTTCTCATACTTACGAGGATGAATATTGTATTAATTCAAATCTACGTCAGCAAAGAATTATCTACCTAGCCCAATCATACTGAAGGCGTATTTTGATACTGCTTGAGTCCGGCGGACTACAAGTCAAGCGTTCCATATCTCAGAGGTGTATCAATTTTTGCCTGCTTCAGGGCGTCAAACGCTCTCAGGCATGTGTATTCCAAGATTTCAACATGTTTCTAGTGGGATTCGGTGTCGACAGTATGGTTACTACCAATAGCTAGTGAGAGACAACCTTGTAAATATCATTGAATCATCTATACTATAATAAACTGGGTATACTGAAAATAATACTCCTGACACTGCTCGAGATTATGCGATAACTCGGATTGAGGACTAAGAACTAAAAATCCTTCGAAATCCTTCACAAACTTTCTTTGGCTAGGTCAATCAGTATTTCCACTATACCGTGTACTTGGCAAGAATCTGTGCCGTCTGTTCGTTTGTATCTTGTGAATCTTGGGATAGAGTTTGACAATTTAAAAGAGTCCAGCTTCCTGCTTGTTTCAGCATCGATTTCTGTATCTAAACGTGCTTGAGTTCTCCGTAAGCCTGATATTCCAACTTGAAATCTTCATAATCTGAGGCAATTATGATTCAATCAAGAATATCCCGTTTATCCACACTTGTACTTTTGTCAATATCAACAATCGGGAGGGCAACCCTACCTGCTGCCCTTCCAGCATCTCAATATGGGACACTCCAATTCCAACAAAATGCAAACGTCACGCGCGTCACTTTTGATCATCCTCCAATAAACCTCTGCGATAAATTCCTCATCTCGGACTTGTTTGACTTTCTCGAGTCCCTACAGCCATCTAATCGTACTACCCCTCCTCCCAAAGTCGTTGTATTCGACAGTGCCAACCCCGATTATTTCTTGGGTCATATCGACGTCACCTCCATTCAACAACCTCTCACAACCGAAAAGGAAACCTTTACCCTGCAGTACATCGCAGTTGCAAATCTATTCAACAGCATAACTTCCACAATATTCATCGCAGAGATGAACGGTCGGGCATTCGGGGCTGGGCAAGAGTTAACCGTTCAAATGGATATGCGTTTCGCAGGGCCCAATGCCCGTGCCGGTTCTTTTGAGAATGCTCTTGGACTTGTTGCCGGTGGTGGTGGCCAACTTTTTCTAGGAACACTCATGAACCGCGGCCTTGCACTTGAATATCTCCTTGGAGCCAAAACATTTGATGGCCCAACCGGCAAGGCTCTAGGTCTTTTCAACAACTATTACGATACTGCGGAGGAATTGCGCAGTGAAGTAGATTCGCTCACAGCCCGTATCGGGAAGTTCCCGGCCGCTGGTCTCAATGAAACGAAATCAGCGCTTAGTTTTCGCAATCCGACATTAGATCAACTAAATACCGATGTAATCGGATTCTATAATTTGGATCCATTGGCGGCGGAACAGGCAAATGTGGCCAAGTTCTTGGTTTTGAGTAAGAATCAAACAAATACGACTTTTGAGTTAGGGTTAACAGACTCGGCTTTGGCTTTAGATACGTAATCTGAGTGCCGATTTATTAAATTGAATGTGATAGGAATGAGCGATCTGGCCAATATTTATCCCTAGGTTGTGTTGTTAGCTTCAAATGAAAACCGAATATAAACCATAATTCTGTTAGCAGAACTTGACTGTACAATTGATAAACACGAATCGCTGATGAACCACCAATCATGTAACGACCTTCTATCTATTCAATTGGTTCAGTCACTGAGAG